TTAATTTTTCCCCCCCCCCCCCCCCCCCCCTTTTAAATACAAACCTGGCTCCGCCTTGGTTAAGACCCCCCCTTCTCCCCAGCAAAAGTAAAAAAACTGTACCCGTTCTTTGACATACTAACCTCCGCAATCATAAGAATCCAAATGGGTGCTAATTCCATGCTCTTCCCCTGAATAAGGTCTAAGGGTTTTTGTTAAGAAAAACCCAACACAACTAAAAAAGGTTCAATACAACACGAGTTGTGGAATAACGCTCCTCACCTGATTCAACAATCAGGAATCATTCACATCAAGTTTACCCAAACTACCAAGAACCAAAATGGTAATGCGTCATCAGTTGGCATACCTACTTAATTTCACTTCTTCTTGAAGCCGATGAGAGAAATCAGTCAAGTCTCGCTCAATTGAATGCAGTGTCAATTTTCAGGCCCCCAGAGACCTCTTATGCCTAGAACAAAAAGGCCACCACCTAAGAGTGAAGACATCCTAGAGCCAAAAACGATGACTGGAAATTTTTCCCTGCCAATAACTTGCCACTACAATTCTAGATAGACCTGGGCAAAGTAACCTTCCAAGTCAGAAATGAGCCGAGGATGATGATTTTTCCAAAGTTAAAGCTAACACCCAACCTTTGGTATTGGAAAACAAAACATAACCAAGTCAGAAGCATTAATTCAGCTCCTTTTTCTTCTGGGTTGGTCAATCAGGATGTGCACCTTATTTCTCCAACTAATATTACAATCAACTTACTTTGATATTTTCAATAGAATATATGTTCCTTATGTTGCAAAACTTATGTACTTATTAGAGTTTTTCTTACCTGTAAGTAATCTGTAGTTATCTGTGTTGCCCAAAAAGAAACTAGATTCTGTGCCTTGCTTCTCATGTTTGGAAAACGTGAACTTTTTCTGGAAATCCACTGATATATCTTTAGGCAGATGAAAAAATGATTCTTCTTCATTGCATTTCATAGATACTCCTGTGCACTTAGGATCTTCAGCAATTTGTAAGCACTCATTCTTGATAGTGGCTGTATCCTTAGCCATTGAGCATCTGAGGTTTTCCCTAGCATCCTGTAAGACATGGTGTGAGATACCATCCATACCAAAAGAAACAAAAGGAATTAATCAAGTGCTTACATTTAGAAAGAGGATTACTCGCTCCATGAGGGATGTGGTAACACATTCGAATTCGAGATCCTTCAAAACAGCCCACAAAAAGAAGGAAAAGAGACAATTCAGAAATAAAGAAATACCAAATAAAGTTGTGGATACTTGCTAATTGAAGTTCAGTAATACACTCAAACAACGCAGTGTTTTCAGTTTCACAGAGCGAATGTAAAAGATTATATGAACACAAAAGTTAAAGTATATCAAGTCATGCCAATAGCTGCATAAGAAAGAAGTTTCCATGTCATTATTAAAACGATATGGAAATTAGATGTTCTTTTGTGTATAAAGAACTGCATTTAGTTACTTTTAGAGTATAACAAAATAACAATATAGTAAAATTGGAAAGTAATTGACAAAACGTAATTTCTGTTTAGACACAATGCAATTTTATGTAATAGTAAAGTGCAAATAGTGCTGAATTTTTTTTTCAACTCAGCACCTAAACTGCCACCCATTTGCGAAAAGAAAACAAGAAACTTCATGGAAAAAAATTGACCTTGACATTTTAGACTGATAGAAAAGCTGTAATGCATATGACAATAACAATTTTCAATTAGCAAAGGAATATTTGCCCATCCGAATCCAAACTCTGTTCCCGAAAGACAAAGCACTTTTAGTGTTGACATGTCTCAGCCGCTTGAAATAAAGGCATATACCACTATTAGATTTGGAAAACTTATCCTTTGAAATCAAATAAAGGTAGAAAGTAAGTTTAGTCAGAAGTACTAAAGTTTAGATGGAACGTGTACTGCTTAGTTTTTTTTTTCCTTCCCCCTTCCCCTCCGTCCAACAGGAAAAATATAGATTTCTCAGCTCTTGAGCGTCTATGAAAGCATTTTCAGAGTTATTTTGGACATTTTTGGAAATAATTGCAAGTCCTGAATTAGCAACCAATGTTACTCTTCTCACAAGGATTGCTCCCGGATTAATCTGAATGCTCGACAACAATCTGCATAATATTATCATGGGAAGCAACCATATGGAAACAATAACAGTGGTTTACTTTATTTAATCAGGGGCCACAGTAGAACAACTATTTGTTGTACAACGATGACTATCCAAGGATTTTTTCTGTTATTATGACAACCTTTGACAGCACTAGTAATGCACGACATGCGTTGCACATGAATATATTTAAAGATCAATTTTTCATAAGAAATTCAAATTATATATGTAATTAAATTGAATCATAAATTATGCGTAGAATAATTTATTCTTATTTTAACTATTGTTAAACATAATTATTGATTTATTTTACCCCTATTTGAGTATCTAATCTGTCATTTGTTTAGAAATCTCCCCAACCCATTAGGCAATTTTCTATTTACATAGATATAGAAAATGTATGAAAGTGTACACCTAATAAATGAGTGTAAAAGAATTTATAATTCAAATACTATTAATAGAAGAGTTCAAATAACTTAGAAGTCAAATAGGTATAGAAAATAAAAGTGTATGAAACTAATAAAGAATTTAGAAGTCAAATACTGTAATAAAAGAGTCTAAAATAACTTAAAAATCAAATAGGTATAAGAAATAAAAATGAGATGAAAGTAATGTGGGTATTATTAACTTTATAATAATAATTAAGGATAAAATAGGAAATCAAAATATTTTCACAAATGTTGACATTTATTAGCAGCATAGATTAGGAACTTTTCCTTTTCAAAGTTACGAGTGTTGTTTCCTCAAGGATATATATTAATCTAGAAATGTTGCCAAATTTTCAGAAGGTTTACATTGAAATATTTGATCAACTTCAACTATAATATTTCTTACCTCAACCCGATTAGTGAAAATTCCAGCTGGAACAATAGAGTTCTTTGGGTCAAAAGCATCAAGATAACCTTCCATTGACGATCTTAACCTGCCACAGTAATTGATCATCATAACCTGTTAGCAAATTCCAAGGATTATGATGAAAATGAAGGCATATGTGAGGAAATTTTGTTTCACATTGACAGATTGACCACTCTTGGTAGCTATGAAATTGGAATAATAGATGCAAGGTAAAAAATTCCAGCAATAAATAACTTTCAGGCAAGCATTTAATTCCGTCCGAAAATATTAAGCTTAGGCTTCTTAATCTCCGTCCGTTTTCTGTCGAGCGATATAATGCCATTCATACACAACAAAAGTTTAACCTTGAAGGCATTATCCCAAATACCTCTGGTCCAATCCTATTCTCCTGATCAGCTCAATATAGAGCTATCTTCTGTCACTTTCTTTCCAAGCATGTAGATGTGACTGGCAAATACAATCAACAGAAGCAGGATAGCGAAAGCGGATGCTGACAAAAGTTAAACGAATGACAGAAGTAAATGATTGACATCCTGGGGCTAAAATCTGGCTGAAATACCACCATAGGACAAAAGAATGACAAGAATTTTTCTCGTCATATATTTATAACATGGTGTAACCAAAGTTGGATTCCACATTCCTGCCAATGACAGATTGAATGAAAGCTACAGTCCAAGCCCTTTGGAGAAACCTCCATGTGCTATTTTGCAATGGACACACTAGAACATCTTTTTTCCAATTACATTACACTTTATGGTATATTATCTAGGATAAGTAGTTCCAAAAAATTACCATGGCAGCATTAGATGGCCCTGGATAAGTCAAATTGTTGCTTTTAAATGAGATAGGTGTTAAAAACACAAGGTAATGAAAGATGCAACTCGTAAAGAGACCTAACCTGGAATGGGATGTATTTGAATAAAAGAACGAACTCAACCGAAGAACTACAATTGAAACAAGACCGGGATTTAAAAGAAAAGCAAGAAAAAAAAATATCTATTTTGATCCAAAAATGAAATGGGAACCAACAACAACAAAATTTGAAAAGGTTTAGAGCGGAAAAAGATATGGGAAGGTTGTAGCTTTAAATTTGAAAAGGTTTAGAGCGGAAAAAGCTATGGAAAGGTTGTAGCTTTAGGGGGTTTAAAGGTAGGAGGACAATTACAGGCTTTGTGGGTTTTGTAGAAGGTTGGGAAATAACTGATTTTGAAGAAGAGTGGTTGCTGGGGTCAAGAATGTACATTTTTTTTGCTGGAAATTCTGACAGAAACAATCTACCAATGTGTCACTACCGTAACCCATGTGTAGCAATTCTTGAATTTGCAACTCGCCAAGCAATGAAAAAACCAAAAATATAACTGAGCAGTACATCCTAAATACACAATAAATAAAGATGACTACTGACATTTCCCATAGGACGGGAAAAGGCTTCTTATTGTAGTGGGGGTACACAATCTTTAAATTATAATTCCAAAGCCTATAACTTTTGTCCAACCAATCAACAAAAATGGAATGACCAAGAACAAATTTACAGCGGCCATGATGGTTATACACATAATGGCCATTCCAGGAACCAAGGTAAACTCCTTATGGACAGACACAAAACTGGTAGATGGTGTTGCTCTAGTCAGTAAATCCACCCCAACTATTTCAACTTGAATTAAGCAACAATATGTAATGTCCATATATGAAAATTCATTATATTAAGTTAATTACTCCAGCAGCAGCGTGATGGCCAAAAACAAAATATTTAGTAAAAATTTAAGCCTTACTAATTCCTAAAAGAATAAGCAAGTGTTTCTCAAATACAGGTGCAGAAAAGAAAACTAATAAAGTGAGCTGGTTCAACTTCATTTATGCACACAAACATCTTCCATCATGCACCGGCTCTTCCATTACACCCACACTAAACCACAAATATAGCCTATCCTCCTCATGGTAGGAAAGCTCTTTACAGTCTTTAAAGGGACTAATATTACGAGAAATCTAGGTTGGTTGGAACTTGCAAGCCTAGAATTACACAGCTACTCAGAAGTACAATGACATAGAGTCTATACTTAATTCCTAATGACCTCATAACATGCCACTTAGGCATAACACTCTTTCTTTAGATGGCCTGTCATCAAGATCATATCTAAAGCTGCTTTCCAGCTAAAGAATCTCACTTGAGAAGGAAAATTATGATTCCATTTCCAACCAGAAAAATGACAGCTATGAGCTATCCAAGAAACCACTTATTGGTAAAATCCCCGAAGCTGGCCTCTTTCTAGTTTCTCTTCCTAATGACTCAACAGTGGAACAAACAAAATGGAATGAATGAATAAACTGCTAAAGAGCAACTCATCCTAGTCAAGCTGCCAGAATGACTATCCAGAGTTCACAACGCACTGCACTTGGAGTCTTGCACCTAATTGACAATTTCATCACCATGTTCCTCTCCCACATCCTAACCAGATTGGTCAAGGAAATAAACTTCGAAAATCATTATGAGCACGAGTCATCAAATCATCCAGTTTCTTACTCCAAATGTAATGCCGGAACAAAAATTGAGCAAGGTTTTCAATCGAACCACCCAAGCAAGACATTAGTTCCCCAGACCCCATACTCCATTGCTGCCAGAAAGTCCAAAAACAACTCCCCAATTAAAAGCAACATCATATTAATTGGAAAATAGATATTAAACCCTTCATACTACTTCTACTTCCCAATCGCACGGTGAGTTGTGTATTATTACACCTTACCTATGATACATAAACACGGGTATGAGCATCAGGGTGCAGGTACATGTCTACGTGCCAAACTAAAGTAACCTTCAAACACCAGGCAACGTTGACTTAACTCGGTCAAGAAAGTGTATATAATTAGGAAATGAAGGAAATCTTTATGCAAGCTACCAAACCTCCTAAGAAGTCAAAGAAAACATCAAATTTAGTTTGAGACAACATTCTATGTTTGGAATTTATATGCTACATATTATGTTTTTAAACATTTTTAAGTTTCTAAGTATTGTAGCCTTAGATCTAAAAGAAGATCTGGGATTGAATCATTGCTACGGCATCTATAAAAACTTAAATAGGACAATTCCATGTTGAATTCAGCTGCTTTTGACTTGTTCTCATCCAATTCAGTCTACTGCAGCATACTTCTCCCTTGGTCCTTTCTTTTGGGTTTGAGTTGTGGGTGGCTACGCTTTTCTTTAGCTTAATTAAGCTCTCTACATCCCCATTCTTTTCATAGGCTGCATTGAAGTAAATATATAATAACTATTTGGGAAAAATCAGTAATATGTAGTCTTAAAAGGAGAAATTTGAAAACATAAGAAGTTCAACAAGACATAAGGTAAGGCCGTAAGGAGGTTCCAATCAAACCCTACTACATAGGGGCTAAGAAGCACAGGTACGAAACGGCACAGACAACCACGACAAATTTCAAAAAAGTAAGGCACGGGCACATTGGGGACACGCTATAGATAGTTGTGTTTTCTATATCAAATTATAAAATTGATGGCAAATATGATGATAATGATATATTATTCATAAAAAAACTCAACACTTTATGATAAATAAATGTTGTATCTAGTCCACTAGTGTGAATTTTTGGATTAAAGCATCATAATTGTTAATTATCATCTTCTTTTTTAGTTTTTTTTAAATTATATAATTTATATAATTGCTCTCATTTTCCCAATTCTAATGTTTTAAAAATTTTATACATCCTGTACTTTTAATATTATATTACAATTTTAACATGTATAGCCTTAGTAACTATATGCTCTCACAAAACATAAAATATGTATTGGTCAAATTTTTAAGCTTTGTTAATCACATGTTTATTGTTTAATAATAGACATGGTTTAAAGAAGGGTTGAACACGTGTCCAAAATTAAAATTTAATCATTTAGGTCCCGTTTGGTAACGTTTATGTTTTTTGTTTTTCGTTTTTCGTTTTTCGTTTTTATTTTGATATTTGAAGAAAATCGGGAAAAAAAAATCGTATGGTAACTGTTTTCGTTTTTTATTGCTGTCAACGTTTTCAAAACCATGGACGATTTTGAAAAAAGAAAAAAAGTTGTTTTTGAAAAAATTAAAAACGTTTAACGCGCGTTGAACATTAATGAGGTTGAGAGATCGAACTTTCTTAGTATCAAAAAAACCCCACTTATTGGCCCCCATATAAATAACAATTGAAATCCCAAACCCTACCCCTATTCATCGCCTGACTCCCCCTCCTCTTCATCTTTCTCGATCTCTCACCCCAATCTCTTCATAGTCTTCGTCTTCGATGAGTTTTCAAGTCTCCACAAGGTAAATAGCTACTTTGCTCATCTATTCTGTGAGCTGCGATCTGGGTTTCAATTTTTTTTTTTTTAAACACTGATTTGAAATGCGATCTGGAATCAACGACTTTTTTTTTTTTTTAAAAAACACTGATCTGCGATCTGGGTTCCACTTTTGTGTTGTATTGTTAAAATTTTTTATGCTGATTTTTTGCGATCTAGGTTCTCCTGGGTTCTAATTTTTTATTTTTTTTAAACACTGATTTGGTTGATCTTCTGGGTTCTGTGATTTTTTTTTTTAAAAAACACAAAGTTTGCTCATCTATTGCTTTTGTGCTATATTGTTGAAATTTCTGCTGCTGATTTTTTGTGATCTGGGTTCTGTTGGGTTCTGATTTTTTTTTTTTTTTTTTTTTAAACACTGTATTGCATTCTGAGCTGATCCTATACTGGGTAAAGGAGTTGAGATGACGATAAGTGCTTTCTGAAGGCCATGGGCTGTTTTTTCTGCACTTTGAAGACTGGTTGTTGGACTGTGATGGATAGTTTGAAGACTGATTGTTGAATTTCTTTGCTTTTTGTAATCCATTATTTGATGGAATAAAACTCTCTTTTCTTAAAAAAAAAAATGTATACAAGCTAGTCACAATATATATATATATATATATATATATATATATATATAAGTGTTACAACCAAATGAGTTTTTTATTTTTGTTTTCAAATTTTTTTACAACTATAAAAGTAACAAAACATGTTTTCTATTTTCATTTTTTGCTGACAAAAATCTAAAACTAATTCTGTTTTTTATTATTTAAAAAATCAAAATTGTAAACGTTTCCAAACGAGCCCTTAATTATGGATACGAATAAAAGATTATAGGACACATATTTGGAAGTGTCCAAGGAGTGTCAGTGTCTTACACGTATCCAACACGGATACGTCTTGGATAACAGAAAACTTCCCTCCACCTGTTGACCCAAGAACTTTAAAAACAATTTTGATGCATCCCAATAATCATATCTGAGGTTGTTACTCCATATTTCTGGTGAGTTTTCAGGATGATGTGCTTCAGCAACTTGGTCGACAGAGGTAAGCCCTAATTTCTGAATCTCAATCTGTTTCAATCCCACTCAATTCTCTCTTATCTTCTTCCTTTTTAGGAGTGCTTCCATATCTGAATGATCTCATATTACATATCTGTGTCATGTCGACACTGGTGTGGTGGCAAAAGGTGCCGAGTCCATGTCACATAGCCCTTGCAAAGCCAAGGAAATTTTCATCAAATGTTTTATGTTGCTATGATTGGAGTAAGGATACAAACTAATTAAGACTGACACGGGCTTTCTGGTCATGCTATTCTCCCACATCAAATAAATGAGAATGACCTTCATACATGAGCATGCATTTGCATGCCTAAGTGTGGGCCAAAACTGATAAAGACAGTATTTAATAATGAGATATTTGTAGCCAGTTTTCACATCTTGCCACAGTCCCAAATGAGTAATATTCTGTCTCAACAGTAAACAGGCAACCACACAAATAATCGGAAGACACAGAATTTCACTATAAGGCCTAAATCTTACCGTGCACAGTCCGAGTTACCTGCCAAGTAAGCTTTTAAATCCTGAAAGCACCTCTTCTCTAAAGACATGGTCTCAGAGGGGATAGAATCCATTGCTGGCAACAGTTTGTGAAGGATTTGGTACACTAACAACTGCCAAAGAAAATTGGTAATCTCTAACACACTTTTGCAAAATCAAATGGGAAAGGCAACGTACAACACCGAAATTTTAAAATAGATTCACCTGGGTAAAACCCCGTAAAGTATGATGATGTGAGGTCAACAATGGAATTATAGGAGGAAGTAATTCATCCAAATGCCTAGATTGAACCATGTCAGTTGAATGGAGGATGACATTAGCTGCTATGAATACGTATGAAGATAAAGCCTGCATCCAATAATTAGATATGAAGAAGTACAGGGAATGTACAAAAAAAATTTGGCAATTATTCCTTACAGTTTATGGATACGTGACAACCATTAGGGTGCTTTGAGGGTAGACGTAACAATTGGATTGTGTCCTATTGTGAAATCTAACACAAATCAGTCTAAGCAGTGTCCTCTCGACTAAAATATGAATGAAAGAAACAGAAAAAAAGAAGTTTATATTAAAGTCTGTAAGCACATGTTTGCGCTTAAACTCATAGACAGAAGAAATACTGACCTATTAAATTTAGAACTGACGGATTTAAAGATTTCATATCACTAGATAACATGATGGAACAAGAGCATTGTTTGCGTTAAAAAATATGATCCATTTATAAACTTTCTTTTTTTATGTTTCCTTATGGGAGGAAAGGGGTGCCATAGAACGGACAATTGTTGACCAGTTAATTATTTTAGGACAAATGATGCTCCCAACTACACTTTTTACATACAAAAAAATGCTCTACTGAAAAAACTGATTGTGCAAAATTAACTAGGTATTTACTAGATTAAACTTCATCAATTGCCATAGTCAGTTTGGCAACCCCTCACCGCATGCTTCACTCAACACTCAACATACAATCCACCCACTACCACAACCACCCTCTCTCTCTCTCTCTCTCACACACACACACACACCAAAGCTCAATGTCCAACTATTACCACTATTTAAATTTCCTCAAAAATCTATCATATCCTCCACCATGGTCCAGTACCGAAAGAGGTGCCATAGAACAGACAATTGTTGACCAGGTAATTATTTTAGGACTAATGATGCTCCCAACTACACATTTTACATACAAAAAATGCTCTACTGAAAATATTGATTGTGCAAAATTAATTAGGTATTTACTGGAGTAAACTTCATCAATTGCCATAGTCAGTTTGGCAACCCCTCTTTCTCTAACGCATGCTTCACTCAACACTCAACATAAGCTCCACCCACTACCACAACCACCCTCTCTCTCTCTCTCTCTCTCTCTCTCATCGCTACCACTATTTAAATTTCCTCAAATTTCTATCATATCCTCCACCATGGTCCGGTACCGTCCAGTATTACTATGGCCCCACCATCTCTCTTTCTAATGAAACTGAAGTCACCTCTATATTCTTCTCATAGGCAATCACTTTTCTTTTAATATTGCATTCCTCAATGAGCATCAATACATACACATAGAAGCATGTCTTCCATGATAATGACAATAATGGCACTATTATCGTTAGTCCCCCCTTCCTTCCAGACCACATTTTATAGAATCATAATCACTCTCATGACCAACCATCACCATGAGAACCGTAATCAAATTGAGATAATGAATTAAACATCATTGTCATCAACCCAATGAAGAAACATCACCCACACTACTGTTACCATATGCTCACACAGAAAATGAGTTCGTAATAATGATGGAAGAGGTAGTGGTGGTTTCGATTATAAAGTTCCATGTATGCATTATGGACTTATGGGGCTAATTTATTGATATGGGTTTAATGGTGCTAACACTGTGGTAATGAGTCCTATATTAGCTACTATGTAGGTCTCCATGTTTGGAAGAAAGAGGTGGTGGTAGTTTTGAATGCAGCATCTGGTGCTGGAGTTGATAGTGACAAAGACGATAGAGAGTCGTATGAAAAGGGATGGGGGGTGTTTCATGTTTGCAAAGAGAGAATGGGGATGAAATGCAAAGTGAAATTGCAATTCCAAAGCTTTTTTCTGGATTTTGCAGTAAATAGCCAAAGATTTTCATCTTCAAATAAGGGGATGGTCAAGTGCGGCAAAAGAAAGACTTCCTCAAATCGCAATGCCTCAGGATTCGGGATTCGGGAATTTCTTGGACAGCATCCTCGAGAGGGGTACTAAGGTTAGAGAGGACGTACTAAAGACTTAGGGATATGAAGATATTCTTCAAGATTAGAGGAGGATAGTGATTGAAGAAAGAAATAAAGGCAGAGGGTTAAGGAAGGAGAAAACAAGGAAGTGTAACCAAGGCATCTCACCGAATATACATGAGCATCACATTTGGGGGTTAAAATTGAATCACACAAAGAACAGTCAACTCAAGTTTGTGGGTCATCTTTTGTCCTCCCTTAGTATTGTTGCACCTCTGGAGGTTTTACCAGCCATAAGCGTCTATTCATTTTAATCAGATAATTATCAAGGATGCTTCATCCTTCCCTTGATTCCTCTTCCTCATTTCCTTTTCTTTAATTAATTAATGTCTTGCATGAAAATTAAAAAGGATATAAAGATAGATAGAGAGCAAGAGAGAGAAGTCTACAATGCACCTGTTTGCTAACAACGTATTATTACCAATAAATCCAAGGATCCTCCAAAATAGTGACAAGTGTTAAATGGAGAAAAGCTAAATATCTAGGACACAATACATACCTGAGGCCTCATATCATAACTTCGAAGTAATGGAATTAGTTCCTCCCCAACCTGTATTATAAACACATCAAGAACTATCTCAACGGACATTTCAGCTCAGGAAACCAAGAAAATCATTGTAGAATTCATGTTAACTCTAATCAATCAAAAACACATGTTTTTATTTACTAAATAACAGAAAACAAGGACTTTTGGAATCCATAAAACAAGGTGTCCCTCCTAAATGGACTTAATATAGGATTCCCATGTTCACGATTGCGATTATGAAGAAACAGAAAACACAAAGTCCTATCTCTGTTCATTAAATATGAGAAAGGGTTAGATTAATTAGCATTAGTAAAGACAAACAACTCAGGAAACGAGTTGACCAAGCTGTGCTTTTTTGGTTGTGAAACATACATGGGTTACCCACGACAACCTTGACTTTCCTACATTAAAAATCTAAATGTGTTGCTTCTTCAAACCTTGTCGATTATTGATTTTATGTACATGGAAACACTTTAAGATCAAATGACTCTGACAGGATCAAGTCTCTCAAACCATGTTATTACCATTTTTAAGCCCATGGGTACATTGCATACACAGAATCTCTGCCTTGCAAAAGCAGATTGAACCATCATCAAATGTAATAGGAGCAAAAAATAAAAAAAATAGCCAAAAGACAAAATAATATTAACATCAAAGCTAGCTCTCATGCAAATTTCTTTAAATGCAAGAGACAGGGAAAGATTAACTTTGAATTACTTCAAGAGACCACTAAACAATTTCTTACCAATGATGGGAACTTCAAGTATATATGGATAGCAAATGTCTCTAAGTATTGTCGAACACCAGGCAAATTGTTTCTCTACAAGAAAGTACACGTATATAAAGTTAGGTCTACAGGTGCAAGAATAAAAATTGGAAAGTTTCAGTGAACAAGGGCATATATCCAACAACTTATTGGGCCTTATCTTCCCTTTCTCCTGCGCTCAAACAACAATAAATGTTATGTCCAACATTAGGTGCCCTAATCTGGCATAACACATGGACAGACATACTCTCAAAGCCAAAATTACGAATGGAGGGCAAAAACAAAGTGAAAAAGTGAGTGAATCCAATGTTTCAAGGATATGAGACAGACTACCACATGTCCTCAGCTAGTTGACTAAAACTTACAGTGGGACGCAACACATATGATCGACTAAAGCCTACAGTGGGATGCAACACATATGACTAAAACTTACAGTTGGAGACATATTTCTTGCTCCCCTTTCCCCAGCTAAAATCATCCTAGATCCACCCCATTACATCATGATCACATGGGTACCCTTGGGTGGAAGGAGTAAATGCAACCAGGATTACAAACATCAGCTCAGACTATCTAGAGTCACAGACTGAAAATTTTTGAAACCAACAAGTAATCAAGGCAAGCTCACCCCTCTGATCATAAACAATGAATCACAGAAAATAGGAATATATCGATGTATCAATCAATGACACCAGAGTAGATCTTCTTCTCAAGTAGACTGCACATACTGATTTGCATCGGTAACCGACCTTATTAAGACTTACAAAAAGTTCTCTTTTACCCACACGTAGGGTTTCAATCCAACAATAGTAACAAGGAAATATGTTAAATAACTTGTAACGTGCAAAAAATGGCAATGTAGTAAAGAATGCCGCAAGTGAATAGCATTAACTTATTTAGACAACATTAAGAAGTCAAGCACACTTGAAGCTAGATGATTCTAGATATATATTAAACATCAAGCATTACAATGTTGAGATAAAAGAGCATTGTGCCTTTTCCACACCTGTGGAACTAATAGTAGATTGAATTAGGAATATGTAAATGAGCACAAATTATATCAGAGATAAGCATTACCAGTGAAAGCAATAACATTTGGAGAGAGATCATTTGAAGGGGCTTCTATGAATTTTTCACCAAAGAAAACAACAAATTAAATTGCAAAAAACAAAACTTTATATTGTGCCACACCATCTACTTACATGAAGGGATGTGTGCAAGCTACATGTAACTTTCTGGACTATATCTTTATCGACAAATCGTGCCAAAATGCAAACCATTTGCCATGCACGAATTTTGCGCCTATGTATCTGTCAAAGGCAAATAAATGCAAATGAGCACGAAGGCCAAGGACCAAAAAAAAAAAAGGCAACCAGTAATGAACAGTGTCATATAATCCTGAGACAACAAAGACAATTATCATCTCAAAGTAATACCAAAGATTTGAATTAGTTCAGCTCCACTTTGAGTTCATGAGGAACAAATATCGTACACAGAACAAGAGGAACAACACAGTTGCTTTCAAATCCTCCTTTCATGATTTCTTTTCACTCTTAGTTTTTTTTTAGGGGGGGGGGAGGACTCACCGCACTGTACTTTTTATACAACTCCTTAGAAAGATCCTGCTCATTTAACTGCATTAAAAATAAGGGTATCAGCATTATGCAGTGTCAATAGATATAGAAGCATTAAGTTAAGAAAGCTATCATTCGCTAATGCAGAAGACAATGGAAAGTATGCATTTTCAAGAAGAAGTAGAGCACAAACCAACTAGCATTGCACCAAGCACATAATTCAACTGCAGACCTTGGTATTTTTTACACTGCAGATTTTTTGTCCATAGAGTAAAGAAGCATTTTTCATAAGGGATGCCATTCAATTAATTTTCCTCATGTGAAACCCTATTTATTTTGGCACAACTTGAATAGCATCCGTACATTGTTGGTAGGACAATTACGCCTAGGTTAGGTATATATTTCCAAAACGCATGAACAAAATTTCGAAGTACTGAGAGAAAACAGGAAAGGGAGGCAAAGGAACAAGAATCCCATATACCATATTTGTATTGCAAAAGATGGCATCAAATCACACAGAAATAAGTCCCATACAGGTGGATACACACAGTAAACCCCTAAAGTAAAACCTATTTAATGGGACTCTGCTACTTCGTTTAGTAAGAATAAAGGAGTTATATTATGAATCCCCATGAAGCTAACAAAATGATGATCAAAATGTAATGGAACTACTTACTATGTCTCCTATGTAACGTGTCTTTTTTACGAATTATCCTACATGACATGTTTGAAGGTAATAGTTACAAGATTTAAGCAAATATGATCCAAAATAATTTATCATTAAGTTACAGATATAAGATTCCGTAATTATTGAAGGAATGTAGTTTTCAATATGCAAGGTGCATTAGCAATCCAAGAGATGACACCTCGTGCGTAATAGCCCCAGACCAAGAAACCCACAAAGAACAAAAAATATAAGATCAATAGCTTCCTCATCCTTACCATCTTTGTATTCTACATTCCTGCTAATATATAAAATGGTGCCTTCTTTCTTATGCACAAAAAAGGTCAAAGGAAGAAGGATTACAGAGAGGGAAAAGGAAAAGGACAAAAAAGAGTGGCAATCCATTTGGCTTGAAAATGAATATACATTCTCAAATCCATGCCACAAGATCTGCATAACTTAAGAATACATCCTCGATCTTATTCATTCCAACCACTTTAATGTATTGTAAGGTAGCTCTCCATCTCCCTTAAATTGCCTTCAACCTATTCTACAGAAATAGGTACTGAAGCAGCTCTTCCCTGCTCTAGTCAGTGTATAACTGCTATTAATGAAGTGCTATCTCAGGTCTTGGAACATTGTTTTAAATAATAATCTCCTAACCATGACATTTTTAAGATATAAATGGTCTTGTGCAACGTCATCGATCCTTTTAATTACGAAGTTACAGAATCGGTGAAAACTGGTTCACTGATAGTTATGTATTTTAAATTTCAAGCCTTAAGCTTTCCAAGATACCAAAGCCATAAAGACAGGATCAGATATAATATTTGAAGTAACAATAGTTCACATATGAGAATGAGTTATCGATAGTATAACATTGTGCGTTATCAACAAATCCAATCATGAAACTAAATATGCACATCTTTGTTGCTACTTGCTTCTATCAGTCAGATATGTAGTTTGGGTAAGAACTCAAATGTTAATGACAAAATTTTATACCACAGAATCAAGAAGCTCAAGCAGAAACAATTTGCCAGATTCAAGGATAGCATGGTTGGTTATATTTCCATTTATCGATCCTCCCACCAAATCGGCCAAATCCGCTAGTTTGTAGAACAAAACAGCAACAGATACACGTGCATACAGCTCTGTGTTGACAAATTCCTAAAAAGAGCGACCAACATTTGATAGCATACAGTTAGAAACTTCTAAATCAGCATTTTCAATATGATATTATGATTGTCAATCACTGCAATCCAAATATTCCCAGTAACATTCAATGCAAAATATGCTCAGCACCCAACCAACTAATAATTTAAAACAAAATAAACAGAAAATATAAACACTACACGTCTTGTCTGGACCGTAGAAAGTACAGAGCTTCAAACTCAAAGAAAGGATAATGGAAAAGAATGAACAAAAAACTAAAAGAAAATGACAAGGCATTAACAAAATTCCGATACTGCTGTGGTTTAGTACACATAAAAACTAGAGAAATACAGCGATCAATATTTTTCACATTCTCAATCTCATCAACAAAAGGCAGCATATATTTTCAATTCAATCTCCTTTCATGAATCTTTTGCAGCCAGTTACAGACTTTATGTCGTAGAATAAAGTGATTTCTTTGATTTTCAAAAACATGTTGGAGACGAGGTTTGTCAAGAGAGCCACCGTGATGCACAAAAATATGCCTTGCAACCTTTTAACAAGATAAAATCCATTGAACACAATAAATTTCAAACAAGATTTGAATAAAAGTTATTAACTCAAGTAAAAAACCTATATATACACATTCCACTTCAAAGGAGAAAAGATAGCATAATCCTTCATAAACTCGTTGTGTACCAACAAGAACCAGGAAATCTGCCTAAGCAATGTTACAGAGGTACATGGGGAAACAAAGGGAAGTTTAGAGAAGGGCACTGACCATAATACTACCTATTTTTCTTCTTTTCTTCATAATAATATGGCATACTACCTACTTATAAAAACAACCACAAAATTTTATGGCACCTTATAGACTGTCTATTTCCACGACTATTAGTATTCTCCCCACAAATAATTTTTAGCTCCTAATGCAGTGAGACCATACATCGACAAGGTCTCCCAGAAGACATGGTTGACCAGCAACACCGATGATATTCCAGAAAAGCCAACTGCACAATCATAATGAAAACGACATCATCCATATTCTAGACAAGAACACACATAGGCATTTTCCAAGAGAAAGTCAATCCCTACTATTACTCCCAACTTTAGGCCTTCAAATTCACCCCATAATTCCACCAGACCCCGCAGTGCGGGAGCCTTGTGCCATGCACCCGCCTCCCCTTTAAAATTCACCCCATAAGCAGGATGAAACTCCGAAAGAAACCTGCTCCTAAACAAAAACCCATGAACTGCAACATGCTTTCTAATTTTTCAAAAAGAATAAAGGGGATTCTAATTTATAATTTTTTCACTGCAGACATAGATACTCATCTAATACTCGTGGCATATTACTGTAAAATTAAAAAACGAAATAAAATTGCAACTCACTTCAGTCAGCTCTTGGTCTGGGCTTTTAGCCAATAAAAATACTTCACTCCTTGCATCATGATTTTCAGCCAATTCAGCTTCAAAATCCTCATCAAATGCAACTGGTGCAGAACTCGGACAAGATAAAATGAAAAAAGCAAGCTACCATTGTACATTTTATCATTTATTTAAACAATGCAACCAAATGATTTAATGAAGAAATACTGAAGGCTGCAGGTATTGCCACAGCAACAGTGGTTGCTTCAACAGGGATTTGATATCCTCCATTTAAATAACTGCAGCAGTTAGAAGCAGCCACTGTTGATGTGGAGCAGCCACTCCATTATTGTTTGCAAATGTGGGACATACCAGAACCATACAGAGTTAACAGCTTCAGCTCTTTCATGTAATACTTTATGGTAATGGGATTTGCGAGCCAAGACCCTGTCAGATGTAATGCTGCCAGACGAATAGTACGTGGACTTTTTCTGCCTTCCTCCAAAATTTTCTCAACAAACTGCAGGAGGATGTTATAAGCAGAAATGTATAGAATTACCTTAAGCATGTCAATAAAAAACCCTAAAAAATCACCAGGGGGGAGAGAGAGAAGGGCACACACCCACTTTAAAGGTCCAGGTTCATAGTCGATTTCATGCATCCTCTCATCACTAAACACTGAATAATGCAAGACAGAAGATAAAAGTGCAGCAATAAGAGCAACCCTCCTCTTGTTGCAGCTGACATGCAATATCCAAGAAGAACGAACCAACTGCCACATCATCTGCAGCAAAACTGAAGTCATTAGTAACTCCATCAACTATTTAAGCTCTTTCAGTTATCATAATCTAACAATTATTCACAACCAAAATGTAGAAATTAAAGAAATCAAGATTGATCCCACATTCCCTTCATATCAGCCTGCATAGATATCTAGTCATGTTTATTCATTAGTATATGCTGCCTAATGGGAGAGTCGAAACTAAGGAATTCTGCATGAGATTGTGTAGATATTTTTCTACTTCTGCTTCCCATTAATTCTTTGTAATCGACTGTTTTGATCACAAATAAACAACCTTTTCACACTATTTTCATCCAAAACCCTAATTTTGGAAATCGTTATCCTATCTGATTACCCCATGGTATATACTTTAACCCTTGACACCAAAAAAAAAAAAAAATAGCCACCAAAAATTCATGGCAGCCACTATTACTGAAACATAGAGCAACTTATGACCGTCAAACCCAAGCAATTTCCATCCTTTTGCCATGTACAACCTCCTACTTCCCTAACCCTACAAGAATTCTTAACCTTTCCCCATCAGAAAATCAATCATAACTACCACTCTTGATTGTTCAATATTATGATGGCTCACCCTTGGAAATCACAAAAGGAGTACAACGAAACATTACAAATGCAACACTGTTGGTCATAAAATAGATTCTGAATCTTAGAACTCCTAATGGCAACTAAACAATGCAATTACTATCTCCGAACGTGTACAACCAAAATAGTTATCCACTTTCAAGAATGCACATATACAAGCATGCATTCAAGAGCCACTTGACTTGCATGTCGTATGGGAAGAGGCAAAAGAACCTGGAAGGAGAGCAAATTAGCAGCAAAAGGATTCTTATTTGATTGAGCAGGTCAAGAAGAGGAAGAAAAAAAATAGATGTTGCTTGACCAAACCACTGCACCCCTAGATTTTCAAGGGTGTTACTTTAAAATGTAAAAGCACAGCTTCCTTTCTTTCTTCTCCCTTTTCTGCCTACTTACAGACAGAAAGGATATGGTAGACTGGAAAAGAAGCTTTCCCCTTCTTTCCTCACTAACAAACGAGAATTCTCTCTACGTTGCCCTTCACCTTTCCTCCATTCTTTCCCATAACCATTAATAGGTTCACAATCAGACAATCTTTCCATCAGTTTATAACTCCGTGTCCAACTGGAGATATTAAGACAAGGGCTGTCATCACCACTTGATGCATTTAAATGCAATCATAGACACACTGCAATCATTCAACAATCTACAATTATGCACAAAGTTCCTGAGGGAAATGACAGATGAACCTGAACATCCACGCCATCGCATGAGGAAACTACTGCACCTATCTTTCCTGAAGCAAACAGCTCCAATATCAATCTGACAGATCTTAGCATGGGCAAAACAGAATCTTCCCCAGCATTCTCGAGGCTGCAAATTCATTTAGGAGGAAAGTTATGTGCATTATAAGTGTCCCATAGCAGTAAACCCACTATAGAATAAAAGTTTGAAAAAAAAAAAAACAAATTCGGACAAAGCAACTACATCCAAGATAATACCTTCCAGAAAAAATTATATCCGAGATATCCCTTTTTGCCTTTTAGGTTTCTTCTATAATAAGAAAGGCCACAAATAACCATTTGCTTTACCATATGTTCAGTCTGATTTCATTCAAGCATTTGTCTAAGTTAAAACATTTTTTTTTCAAAAACACCGGTTTTTTATTTCTTTAGCAAGAAATCTTATTAAATATCCAATTATAAACTCGAATAACACGTAAAAGCACAAAATAAAAATTTTGGATACGAGACTTCCAGCTAGTGATATTATGCATAAGTGCATGGTTCAATGTAAACAAGAAGCAGTTCCAACATATAATAGATCATAGATGTAATCTTTGATGCAAGTATTGCATCCAGTGTCTTACCTCTCAACAAGGTCACGAAAAATCCATCTGACAGTAGCATCTGAGAAGTAACAATTACAACTCACTAAGTGAACTCCATTCTCACGAGCATAGATTGGTATTGACAACAGAGACTCTAGGCAGATCCACTAAAATGATCATCAAAGAAAACTTAGAATCTTTAATAAATAAATGCATCATCAACCATTACAACAAAGAACAGACATATAACTAAAAGGCAATATGAAGTCATAATACATTTCCTTTTCCGCTTTTTTCTTGTTTACAGTTAATCTCAGACAGAATCCCAAAAAAACTTTCTCATGATCTACTTTGTGAATATGCGCCAAGTTTTTTCACAAGATTTAAACAGTTCCCAGAATGCAAAAACCCAAAAAACTGAGATATTCATATGTATGTGACAAATATAAATAAGATCAATCACCTTCCATTTCAATAAAATTGCCCGCCGAGATCTTGTTAAACTTCCAACTGCAACGAGATTATTGATGTTCTGAAGAAAAGCCCGAACAAAAGAATCCACCACGGGTTTACCATCTGTTTCTGGTGGTAATGATTCATCATTTTCCATGACAAGATCCAAAGCTAAAGGAGAGAATGAACAAACTAGTGTTTTCAAAACATAAGCCAGTGCTTCATATGCTGCTACGCAAATTTCTGCTTCAGTCTGATCAAGGAAATTTAAACAAACTAATGAAAGTAGCTCGTAAAAAAAAAACTTAAAATGGAATATGATGATCAACATGACAACTGACAAGTATTCACACTTCTGCCGAAGTAAATATACCACTTAAACTTACCTCTGAATTACATGTTGAAGATGAAATGATCTTCCAGGAGGTTTTCCAGAGAAAAGTTAAAGCAGAATCAAGTATAACGTCATTCCCAAACTGCGCACACCACCAAGAAATAGATGCAACAGTCTTCACTGCTGTTATCTGTTCATCCACGTGAAAGAAAGAAAGTTAAAAAACTTCGAATATGATGAACTTTAATGAAAGCGAGGCATGGTCGGATGATCAATTAGGAAAAAAATACCACCCAAGGACACACAAAAGTCCAAGACCAAAAACTAGCAAATTCGTTCTTGAAATAGTGCATGTAGAACAATTAATTTAAAGGAGTTGTGAAGATGGGTGTGTGAAAGGTTTTTTGTATAGGAAGCATAACTTTACATTAAATAGATGAAAAGATCACAAAAGGCAAACAAGAAATCCTTCAATAGAAAAAAAACATAGAAATTAAATGGCTATACAAACGAGGACTATTAACGGTAATCATCTAACTGTATGCTGTGACCCAATCTATACTAAGGGAATCTAAAATAAAGAATTTAAGCATTAATAAGATTCCCTCAGGTTAGAACAACATTTCTTCGTCTCTGTTGCTCCAAGCCAAAAAATTGGCACAATTAACAACGCAACAATAATAGAGATTACAACGTAGTGTAAGATATCTTATAGTTGTATATTTATAGATATTCCATTACACAAAGACTCCAAAAGTTTTTGGTACTTGATATTATTAATCAGAAATAGGCCAAACCTTTCAATTTTAGCATTAAATTGTTAGTAAAATTAGTTTTTCCAATTTAGTTCATCAACCAACACAAATTGAAGTAAATTGTCAGTAAAATTAGTTTTTCCAATTTAGTTCATCAACCAACACAAATTGAAGTAAATTGTCAGTAAAATTAGATTTTCCAATTTAGTTCATCAACAAAATTCAACTCAACAAAGCCATTATAGCTTCACCCCAACTAGTTGGGTGGCCTACAAGAATCCTTTTTTCTCAATTTGCTCTATGGCCATTGACTTAATTAAATAACAAGTACCATATATTTCTTTACTATTTTGGCCACACCGTCACAGTTAGTTCTAGTGTACTCCTACCCTACATCACATAGAGTGAAGGCAGGGGGAGGGGCAGGGGTGGAAAAGCATCAACATTCAAAAAAATTGAGAGCGAGAGCGCCTTTAGAGCGTCTTATTATATGCATACAAACACACATTCACTCATAAAAGTTTAATATAAATAAAATATAAAAAATTAAAATTTCATGCACAACTATGAGACAAACTATTTAATGTTTAAATATACGTTGATTATAAAGTCTTAAAATGACAATTATAGTTTACAAATATTATTCTAGTTTGATATGTATCTCTAAGCCTGAATCAATACTTCCTAAATAAAAATTTGAGTAATAATAAATAAGCATATAAGTAAATAAGAGCGCGAATTAGTTGAATTCACAAATTTTATAAAATGAGAACACAAATTCACGAAGAATTCGCTACTAGCCTACTAGAGTACGACGCGAGAGCGTTAGGAGTTTAGAAAGATTATGTGACTAAGCTCCTACCCCTAACTTTATAGTGCTCCAACAGCTGGCATGTTGTGGGTGGAAACACAATTATAATAAATACCATCCCATGTTCCTCTACCTTGTCATCATGTGCAAACATAATTTTAAATTGGTTTAAGTCTTTAATCCTTGTTTTCAACAGACTTTTGGTATAAGGTCAAGACATCTAGCGATCTCCTCAGAAGTTTCATCATTTTGCTTTGCCCTAATCAAGCCCAGAAAAAGAATATTTCAAATCGGGCATGTGGTTCCTGCTAGCACCGACTCACCCTTTCTCATTGGTAACATACAAATGCCCAAACCAGTTCTTTTGGCACACTAATGTGTTCGAGTTCATATTTCCTCTCTAGTATTACCAAATATTTCATACTGTCTCTTAATTCATAAAATTATGTCCCATAATGCCTAATTCTATAGACTTTGCTCAACTTTACCTATTTACACCGATTGCACAATATTCTAGATAGACCCTCCAATCTCTCCCTCGCAATTGATAATCGAGCTTAGATAAGGAAATGGTTCACTCTATGGCATCTCTTGCACTTTGACTCTCCACTTCTCCACTGGTATATTTGGTTTCAGGAAGTCTTGCATGTGTTCACTTTTAGTGCCACCTATGACCTATTGTAAATGCTCTTGATTCCAAAGCTTCTCTTCATATTTTTAGTTTACTTAATACCTACTTTAGATTCCTACATTAAAACAATATTACTAGCAAACACCATGCTTCACAATGAATCTGTGAAATTATGGTTTCAACCCGGGACACCCAAAGAGGATCATGAAATTGGGTGCAAGGGGCCAGCAAACTACATTTCCGATCCACCCGGCACACTCACTAAAGATCTATTAACGCTGAGAAATCATTGAGAATTATGTTCTTTATATGCATATTAAGTATACAAAATTAACTTCAAGCCATTAGCTAAGAGGGTCATTGAACTGTGGTCCAACCCAATAGACCAACAAAGACAGCTCCACCAGCAAGCACCACACACAGATTACAAGTCGTACTGACTCTGACAAACCACTGAGAACTATATCAAATTTGCACATAGGGATAGAAAAGAGTACTACCAACCATGAAGATGTGGACAGGACAAAAAATATAGTTTTTATCAAACATCCAACTTGAAAAGATCAAAATAATAATCGAGGAAAATAAATAACACAAAGGATCATACAGCTTGCAAAACAGTAGTAGTGGCAGAAGTTGATAGCCGACGTTGACTTGGACCTCCTAGCTTTCCTACAATGGAACCAGGCAGAACTGCTTCCTCCTTCACCACATTGGACCAGAATATTGAACAAGGCAATTCGGCAAATGAGACCAGCTCTTTCTGCATACAGACTAATTTCCATTATAAACATATAAAAAACTACAGCACATCGCATGAAATAAAAAAGACAATCGTGGGCTAACAATCCATACCAATATAGAAAGAAACATTTTGGAGAATTTCTCCAAACAAATGGAAGCTTTGGGAATTCTGGAGTGACCAACACTCTCAGGCAGGTAAAGATCTGATTTGGTTCTCCCTCCCATACCACCGTTGCCTGTTTTCTCTTGCATTACTATAAGTTCCTGAATCAAGCTCAAAGCAAGGATGAGAAACTTCAAAGGTGCGCATGTCAAATGTCTGGTCCATTTGCAGACATCAACGCCATCATTTTGAATATACTGCACAAACAATTGTTACAAAAAAAATGAAAACCTCTAGACAAACAGGGGAAGAGAACCTAGTGATCTGCACATCAAAAGTAACAAAGAATACCAAGTGCAAAGAGTCATCCATGTGGTCAAACGCAACAAACATGTTAATGACAAAACTTAAAAAATAAAACTAAGCCTGGGAGGCACTTGAGCTATACATAATCATATGTCATTCATGCGGCAGTTGATAACCTTAAAAATACAAAATATATCACAAAACAGCAACCTTGTTTTCATAAAAGTCCTCAAAGAGGGATGCCGAAGTAAAAAACAAGGAAAGCTGCTGACTGTGGTTGTGTTTTTGTGCATGTGTGTGTGTGTGTGTGTGAGAGAGAGAGAGAGAGAGAGAGAAAGAGAGGAAAAGGCATGGAGGGGACATCAAAGTGTCAAACAGAAGCAAAAATTTAGTATGAATTTCATGTAAATACACCCTCGCACTATAGCTAAGGAATGCATCCTCGCACAGTGAGAAGCACACTTCTAGAACTGAAGGTTATATACCAGTGTCTATTGGAAATCTGTAATAACAACAATTGACTAGTATAACTAATGGCACTTACCATCTTACAGAGACAGTGGCTCAACGTAGTAGGAGCAAGGATGGGAATATACATGGCACAGAACTAGTTCTCAAAATGTCACATAATGGGAGTAGGCTCACCACTCATACATCTCACATGGATCACCGCTCATGCATTTCATGTGGAATGGTTTTCATCAGAAGTTAGAAATGTATCACTGGTTCTCATTTCATCCGATAGTAAGCAACTCATGCATTGTTTTTATTAGAATCCACTTAATTCACTTGTAGAATTATGTTTGATATGACTGAACCATGTAAACAGCAACTGCAAACATAAGCATTTGTATACTGTATCCCCTTTTCCCGATATTGGAATTTATAAGTGATTTAAAGAGTTTAAAAATAAAGCACAAAACACAAAAAGAAAAAGAAAGCATCCTTAGTCACAAGAGAACACAAGAAAGCAAACCATCAAAATAGGATCCAAATGTTGTTCCTCCTTGATTACAAGAAACAGCACTCTCGCCCATCTCTCTGCTTCAAAACCCCATGCATCCAAGTCCTCATCGTCGTAAGTAGCAAAAGTATCGACCGATTGATGACGACTAACAAAATTCTTAGGGAAATCACCCAGAATCTTCAAAAGTTGCACATTACTGACACGACAAGTAGAAGTGGCATGCTTTTCACCACACCCAGAGAGCCATTGTTGTACTTTTAATCTTAACAAACCTAGAATATGGAGACCGGGAGAAAATTACAGCATGCATAGACCATACATATACCAACACAATCACAATCAGTAAATCCCTTCACAGAAGAGGGAACACAAGTAAATTATTAGCATGCATAGATGTTACATATACCTCCACAATCAGTAAATTCCTGTGGCAGGGTTGCAATGAAATGCAGAAGGACCTCAAGAGGCACATCAAGCACAGACATCACTGAAGCAGCAGCATCCAGAATTTTCTCACAAACTGGAATCCACAAAAAAAGCTTAGAATAATCCTTATCTAATTCTCAACTATTTGGACTGTAGAGAGAAAGAATATAATCACAATTTGCATCTAAAGAAATTTAAAATGAGACCTTGACAACGATACTTGTGATTGAAATGTTGTTTGCTGCTCTCAGTAATAAACCGTAAATTATCCAATAAGTCAGCTTTATCATTGTGAAAAGAACTTTCTTGAGCAGATTCGACTTGGACCACATCAGTTGAAGCATCTTTAGACCATTCAACTTCATGGTTGTTGGGTGTTCGAACTCTACAAGCAGCTGACGCAATGCAGTCAGCAAGTGCCATCAAGCCAGGTCGTCCAAGCGAATGCTTTTTGGCGAAATAAGCTAAATTGTTCAAGAATGCTATTTGTTTCCTGTAACCACAAGAAATCACTCAAATTATATCAACTACTTCCAAGCCCCGACATTACTTACTCTCAAAGTGAATTCACTTAAATAATCAACGGCTTCCAAGCCCCAATGTTAATTTCACAACAAAATTAATTTGTTGTTAAGGTTGGGACACTTATCTCCTGGAGATATTGCCACGATGGTAAAAGCTGCTGGACAGGGTTTTGCCTATTGTCCAAGATCCCCCCACTACTGCCCCCACCGTGGGCCGGGTCACGTCTGTTTCCCAGTGTGGCTGATCATCCAAAAAGACCTGCTAAGCATCATTGGCTTGGTCAGCCACTCCGTCTTTACCTAACGAACTACCTAATATTACACAGGTTCATCAATAGAACTTCTCATCCTTCCTCGGGATTTGGTCCAAACTATTCAGCAGATTCCCATGTGCTACAGACACGTTTGCCACCTTATGCTCAATTTTTTGCACCTCGTGGGTAAGATGAGCTACCATTAGCCAGGAGATTCTTTTCCTTCCGCCTAGCTACCCAAAAAAGCATTCAACTTGCATGTGCTCATCATACAGCAAGCATTCCTCCTTATCGGGGATCAAAGGTGAATAATCCAATGGAGCAAAACTGTATCTAGCATTTGGTCATCAAAGGCAAGTCTTGAATCTTAGATAACGGCTAGGAAGTCCAGGAAGTGGATAAAGATAGTAATCTATGCCCTCAGAAGTTTATCTCCAAAGGGTAATCTATTGCATTCCACTCGTCCCAGATACATTGTAGTGGACAGGGAATTTCTTTATGAGAGTATTTCTTGGTGGGGATGCCATATTCATTTTCTTAGTCACATACCTCCTTTACATTCTTAAAGCTGAATACATATCTCTATCTTACCCACATCTTAGACTCTGGAGTCCTTTCTTTGGAAATACTTTTCTCGCGTGGCTTTTTCTTTCACGTTATCATTAATGATTTTGCAGTAGTAATACCCCTTCCAAACCCAGCCCACACCATCCCCCTCTTTTTGGGTGAGTGGCGCTTATTGTTCTACAATCTTCTTTTTTAGGAGCAAGTCACTGGTAAGAATCCCCTCATGAGCTCAATGCCAAGGTCTTTAATTTAGGAGACACCATGCCCTTCCAAATTAAATTAGAGGTCCCTTCTGCAGAACTCTAGGACAAGAATAGCTTCAAGCGTAAAATTATCTAATCAATGGCAAGAAAAATACCTTTTTAGAATAAATCTTAAAGACAAATTTCCCACATTGTGTTTCAGAAAAACCGGTAGCTTGAACATAATTTGACAGTTAGTTCCCTACCACCCAAATTCCAAAATGTAACTTATTAGGGTGCAGTTCGCTAAGCCCTGAATGTATTCCCCTAAATTAGAAAACAATAAAATTCTAAAGGGCAAAAAGTGTCTTTGTCTGCCTTTAATGCATTGCAAACTAATGAATGTATATCAAAGCAACTTAAACAATTCGGCTAAGTTATTTATTATTTAGATTCCTGACTGAAATCAGAAAACGAAAAAACTCATCAATGGTATTGCCCCATAAATAATATATTAAACCATTAGTTTTTACTGAGCAAATGTGTAAATGTTTCAGCAGGATATTATCAGAAAATGATACGTGCAAAGATAGTAATATATTCCTTGATTTCCTTCCATTAAAGAAATCATCAAAGATATAGCACAAATGCATCAACAATTAGTGGAGTTAAAAAAGAGAAGTCATCAAACAAATGACAATGTACCTCAAATTAAGATAGCCTGTATATTGACATAAGAATCTGGCAGCACCTTCAATAGTCCTTGAACAGTAGACTCCTTTTACTCCTACAACATGTCAAATCACATTTTATTGAAAGAATCATGACATCGATATGCAAATTATAGTCAAGTACAACATTAATTGACATGCTTCTTTCTAATTTGCTGTATTTTGGACAAAAAATGGTGATATATACAGTTGTTTAATGAACATGAAAACGAACGAACCAAAATCTTTGTGGTGCACGGGATCATTCAACCCTTGCACAAATGGACCAAGTACAAAGTCTTCAGGCACCAATTTGGCAAGGTTTCCAAAGTTCTTCCACTCGATACCCAAAAATGACTGCATGATCAAACACCTTACTGCAAAAAAAAAATAAATAAATAATATTTGTAAAGAAAAGAAGAAATATGTCGAGATGACCAAATTATTTCAATAAGGTTTGCAGAAACTTATTCTACCTTGGGACTGACTGGTTATGCTAAATTATCACAGGTACCTTGAGGATTATCATGGCGAAAGCCCCGTTCCCACAGGACAGCCGACCAATTAAAAATTTCTGACAATGTATCTATCTGATTTGGATGGAACCCACTACTGCTAGAGTTCACACTATTATCAGATGGGAAAGAAGAATGAAGCAACAAGGTTATCTGCAAAAAGCAAGAAGTATTTACTAGTACAAATGGTATAATAGGCTAAGTAAGACTCAGGTTGTCCTAGACCTTGTTGAAAGTGATTGTACATGTATGAAGTAGGGTACACAGACAAACTTTTGTGACCTTTTAAGTGCATATATGCGTCAATAGGACATTCCAAAAGATCAGTAATAATATGTGAAAAATATCATCATGCCAAACCTGGTGGTTCCATGCTGCGTCAACCAAATGAGTCCCATACTCCTCAAGCATTTCATATAGAAGGAAGAATGCCCCCCATTTCTGCTGACTGTTCAAACAGTGATCCACTGAATTGCATAGTCTCCCTACGCCCAGTGACTTGGCTTCCTTGTCAGCCCATAGCCCCCTTTTTGTTATACCACCAGCAACCGAACTTTTCCCTCCTGATATTGTCTCTGAAACAACAGAGGTATATTGGTTTTCCTCCCTTGTACGTACCATTGTCTTCAAGATATGTAATGACTGTTTTCTCACCAAACCCTCCTTCTCGACCTAGCAAACCCCAAATTTTAAACAAAAAAAATGGATAAAGGAATACTATTAATCTAACATGCTACAAATCCTTGCAAATAATAAATAACTGAACTGTTAAACAGTTTACCAAGCCTCTTTTTAAGTCATCCCAAAAACCCTTCTCCGTTCTTAAGTCAAATGCTTCTTCTCCATCACATATAATGGCATCTTGACATCCATCAGTACAAGAGAAGAAAGATAAGTACAGAGAGAGTACAGCATAAGCATCTCTTCTCTCTGAAGGCCCCATAGAAAACAGTGTTCTGCAGCACTTCCATATTTTCAAAAAGAAATGCTTCCTGGAAAACCAGCCAGAAATGCTTGGTATGAGAGAAAACAGCACTGGCACCATCCATACAATAGTGGATTGATGATAGGTAAAGCTCATGCCGTTAGAATATGCAGTAACATTCTACCTATTAAGTGTACATGTCTGCCCATGAACTGAGACTTTAAAAGCACGATCAGAAACAAATGCTTTAAATATGAATGGTAGGAGAAAGGTAATTGCAGAAGACCGAAGTTCCAAACTTAGGGAAAGCATTCGTAGGGTTATATTACAAAGATCCCAAAGCAAATTTCCAGCAAACATTTCAGGACAAAATCCATTTGCTACGGTCAATCCGGGGGTGCTTTCCACGGGACATTTATTTTGTAGAGAAGCATCCAATATTAAGGTTAAAATATGGCAAGATGTAGGTAAAGGAAAAGACCCAAATTGAGACATTATGGAGTCTCTATTCAAGTCCGAACCACTTGACTGGCCATTATAACCCTCAAAAAATTCCAAAGCAGTCAGCTGATCATCAAAACTCTGGTAAGCTGGGTACGTAGCCCATCTGTAAATTGCTAATTCTTCATTTCGAACCATCCCCGCTGACAGACCTATCACTCTCAGGAAAAATGGCACCATGGTTGCTTCTAAAATTTCCCAGCTGTTTGTTTCAACCACAACATCAAGGAACGAACTTGCAACCTAAATGCAAATTCATGCAAAGAGGAAAAGAAACAGGGAGTGAGCATAGAAACAATATGTAAAAGAATTTAGCATACATGATATATATGATTACAGCATGAATTTGCCATTTACCTTGTTTAGTATTTCACGATCATAGGCATGTATAAGCTTTACTAGTGGTATTAAAATTTTCCAAATAAATGACCGCAGAGATCCGAGATTAGCCCCTGCAGATAAAATTATGTAAATAACCTACCAGACAACAGTGTTCCCTCAAAAACCTAATACCACACTAATACCTAATGATTCATTATCTTTTTCCCCTTTATAGGAGACAGTAACCATAGTCTACTAAACTTGTCTTAAGACCTCCAAAAATGATTCTAACTACAAGAAAAGAACAATATTTGAAATTGAATAAGACGTACTAACCAAGGACCTTGCTGACAGAAACACCTCAACAGAAAAAGAAGAGTAACATGAACCCAGATAAGAGACAAAAAAAATGCAGGACAACAGAAAGGAACTGGGCATGGAAATAATCTTTTTGGCATGCTGGCACCCACAAGGTCACTGCCATCAAGCTTCAGTGGCAAATGATAACGTGCTTATTTATCAACAGTGCACAATGCATCAAACTCACAACTCCAAAGCAAAAAGATCCATATCAGGAATCAGTAAACTAAACACTCAACTTCGTCAAATAAAAGTATAATCCCCAATAATGATAACTGAACTTATAAAACTCAATATGCCCATTGAGTTGCTAATACAACTTGATGCAGTCAACCCTTTGGAAGCATTGAGTGACATGGGTGATTGAAAGAAAAATAGGAAAACCATCGATGTCCCCACACAAAAACTCATCTAATAATTTCTCAGGTAACTTACTGTGGTTGTTTGGTAATTTATGATTAATTCAAACAGATCATTTATGAATCCCGTTGCACATTGATTACCTCTCCAATACCTTTATGAATTTAGAGGGTTCATATTTTAAGTCTTCTATTTAGTTACCTTTATATTTACTACGTTTTCTTGATGCTTGTTTGTACTGTCCTTCACTCTTTTGGTTTTTATAGTGGATTTTACTTGGATTAGCAAATACCCTTTATTTGTCTAAATTAAAACTATTTTGTACTCTTTTTCAAACTGCTTATGGTAATTTTAAGATTAAATATATGATGTCACGACCCAATTACCCGCCCTCTTTATGGGAATGCAATTTCAGTCCCAATATCTCATGGCAAAATGTTAAAAGCATATTTTCTTTCTTGTCTACATCTATGGAAAATATCATGAATGGTTTTTCCAACAGAGATATTATTTAAATTAAAAAAACAAAAAGTATGAGAAAACAATATAAACAAAGAGGACATGACAACATAGTTCAAATTTAAGATTTCTGATCATACAACACATTGTATTTTTCGACCACGGAAGAAATCTCAAACATAAGCTGGACGTAAGTAACTCACCTGACTTCTTTAACAGATGACATAATGCATCCACAAACGAGGCGATATAGTTACATTCCTCATAATCCAATCTTTCACTCTCCTCCATAGTTTCCTGTCAAAGACAACGAAACCCAACTCAACAGAAGCTCACTGCGCGACTGGTGACAGACACAACTAGAAAAACAAAATTAACGTTAAATATCCGTGAATCTTGAATTTCCCATTCTCGGGATCAAATAACGCAAAAATCTTACTCGTTCAAGCCTATTGGAACTCTTTTTTGTTCAACGAATCTGCCATCATAAAGACTCAAAGAATGAAGCGTGTATGTATGTGCGTTTCGAAAGTTTATTCAGTGATAAAAAGAAAATTACTGAATATCGAGTAAATCGCCAGTACCTCAGTGAGACTGGGAAAAGCATTGAGAAGAGAAGAGAAAAGTGTCGATGGAGATGAGCCGGTTGATGCTAATATACAGTCCAACATAGCCGGAACAGCCGCTGGAGGAACTCGTCGGAAACTGCTCGAAAGTGAATCGATGATGGCTTCCATTGAATCGGTCATTGCCTGAATAAATTACTAGAAGCTTGGATGGTTGTGCGAGGGAGAGAGAAAGGCGTGTGGTTTGGACAGGAACGTCCAACGGCTCTAATAATAAAACCCTAGAAAGAAAGAGTTTCCAAAAAAGATTGGCGGTTTTGGAACGTTGATGGCGCGGCGCCAAATATATATTTAAGATAAATTTCTACCGACTCTCACATTCATATCTTTATGGATTACCCTAATATTTCAAAAATAATATTGAGATCCCCAAATATTTGAAACTTTCAACGTCACACCCATTATGTTGAAATGACATTAAAAATACTAATTCCTAGACTATCCCCTCTAATTTTCATAAGTTAGTATTACTCCACAAACAAGATTGAAAATACAACATTGTCCTCAAAAATAATTTTTATTGGCAAATATTTTTTTGTTATCATATTAGCTATAATTTAAAATTAATTATTTGTTTACACTGTATTAATTACAATCTTATCAAGCAATTGCATTATTTTCGTAAAATTATAATCGAATGAGATGTATTAATTAATTTCATAATATGTAAGCAATAATTTGATTTTAAATACTTAAGGGTTAATTACTCTAAAAGTCACTAAAGTGTAGAGTATGTTTCATTTTTGTCTCTAATATTTTAATTACATTATTTTAGTTTTTGAAATATTAAATATATTTCTATGTGGGCTCTCAAACAGACAGCATCAAAATTGCTAAAAAAATTTTATTATAAATTTATCACGTAATATCTAAATATGGACAAACAAATAATTTAGATAACTATCGCTATGTTATCAAATAGTTTTTAATCTACTAGTTTGGAGATTAGGTATATCAAAAATAACTTACACGCGGTGCTTAATAAACCCACCAATTCAACCATATATGAGCACTAGAACGAATACAATGATATTAAGTAATTATTGATAAAATTAAGTTGAAATTCACATTTCACTTGTCAAATTTTACCTTTATTGAATTATTTTGATTATATTTTATTTTTTGACTTTAACTAGATTTAATTTTGAGTTTTGAAATTAAATTTGTATTCAAATTGACTAAAATTCAATTCAAATTTAATCCATTAACAAATGTATTGGCAAAAATCAAATCACGGCCCAAACCTAAAAATAAAAAAAATGATATTTCATGTTTGATTGTGAGCAAAAAAATAGTGGACAATAGAAAAAAGGATTTTCATTCAATCTGTTTTCTACTTTTTTTATTTTTTCTTCGCACACTTTTAACAAAAAGGAAATAAATAATAGAATATTTGAATTGCTCTATTCTATTTTATCACCTTCATTATCATTTTTTAAAGTAATTTCAATATATTTTCCCTCCCCAACCGAAACAAATAACATTATTTTTCCTTTACTAATATGTTTGATTTGATAAAAAGTTTGATAGATAGAAACAAAGATTTTCTATTGTTTGGTTACAAAGGAAAATAGGAGGGAAAGTATTTCCCTCTAGCCCAATATTTTTTTTTCCCTCCAAAAAATGGGAGGAAAGTGAGAGAAAAATTGAAGACAAACTATTTTTTTGAACAAATTAATTTTTTTTGTCCTTAAATATACTTCTAAATATTATGTCATAATTTTAAATTAAAACTTGTACATTTCTCAAGAAATACTTAAAAATATCTTATTGCATATATTTTTCTTATGTATGTTTTTGGCTATTATTTTTAGCATTCATATTTATATTTATTATGATAACTAATTAGAGCGACAAGAAATTTGTTTAAAAATATTTTTATATATAAGGGTATAATTTTTTCCTCTAAAAAATAAAAAATTTATTTCTCAATTTTTTTTAATATTTTTTGGGGTTAATTGCACCAGAGGTCCCAAAAATATGAAGTTTGTCTCATTTTGATCTCTAATATTTCAATTGCATCATTTTGATCCATGAAATATTAAATTTGTTTCTATATGGTTTTTCAAGTAGATAGCGTTTAGATTACTAACGATTTTTTACATAAATTTGTCACATAATATCTAAATATAGACAAAAAAATAATTTTAATAGTTATTAAATAAAATTTGGGTAGCTCTTGACAAAAAATGTGTAATATGAGTAATTTTTTTCCAAAATTTGGATAGATTATGATTAAAATTGTGTAATTTAGATAGCTATTTAACAAATTTTGAGTAAAAATTTGGTCAGTTATTCAAATTAATTTTTTGTCCATATTTGAATATTACGTGACAAGTTTATGATAAAAAATTGTGAACAATTTAGACGTTGTCTGCTTAAGGGACCATATAGAAACATATTTAGTACTTGAGGGACCAAAATAATGTAATTAAAATATTAAAGACTAAAATAAGACAAATTTCATATTTTGAAAACCTTCAACACAATTAACCCATTTTTTTTTTTTAGATTATAACATGCATAAACTAACACACACAAATCCACGTGATTAAACTCAACACACTTAATAGAAGAAGGACCACCAACCAATTCCTATTAAAAGAGGAACCGGGAATTTCATCATTTCAATTTCCTGTTCCTGCTACCAAACGGAGCCTAACCTTTTGTCAAACCTACTGGCGAGATGACTCAACTGCTACTACCGAAAAGAACAGAGAGGAATGACACAGGACAGGCCCCTGACAAACAGTCACCAAGTAAGTGAACTCGATCAGAAATCACCGAAGCAGAAGACCCAGAAACAACAAATCTCAGAAATACAGAAACTCCCCCCAAAAATACAATCATTGCCAGCCTTTTCGTTCCCATCTTTCTCCGTTCTATCAATCGTTATGAGCAAACACACCCAGAAACTTTTTTTTCTTCTCTCATTTTTCCTCTGAACTTCTTGTGCCACCAATCCACACACTAATGAAGTTTCTCTGTTATTCCAATCGCAAAATCTTTCAGGTTCCGTCGGAATTGTTTTCACACAAGAAGGGTTTTGCTCTGCATCTTCAATGTTCAATCTTCAACACCTGACACCAATTCTCAACCTCTCTATTGGAAAGTCACAAACCCAACACTTTGTCCTTCTCATCTCCAAGGTCAGGCCCCTGTTTGTTTGCCAAGAAAAATACGAGGAAAAGACTGATAAAATAACTGGAATCTTTTGTTTAATATTGTTTTCCAGACCAAAAAAAAAATGTATAAGTTTTCCTGAGATTGCAAAAGCGGAATAGTACGATCACAGTAATGTTGGTTTGATGAATTATTTTGAGATTGGTTTATCTATAGAGAATACATTAATGAAGCTAATCTGGGTACTTAATTCCGGTAGACTAGCCGGGGTTTACTCGCAGTGTGTATAAAAGAGACCATGCTTTAATCACACCAGAAAGTCATGTCTTCAGCCCTTTACCCTATTGGTATACGCAACTCAGCATTTTGATTTTCTTAATCTGATAGATTAATCCTTGTTGATTCATTAGTTGGAATGGATTTTGTAGGACTAATACACTGGGAGCATATCTAATATCTCCGGCAATGGGATCTCACTTTGTCATGTATTTAGCAAAGATGCAAGGTGAGTTTTGAATTTCGGATTGATTATTTTTTGTATGTAAAATATAGGTACTGGATTTGGTTTTTCTTGTGATGGGGGCTTTCAAGTTTTATTTTGCTTGATAATCTTGCACGTCAATGATCCAAGTGATTCAGTGGTTATGGTGTGAAATTTTAATATGTGAATGATCTATGACGGATCACTATGTGATCATTATATAATTTTTAATTTGGATTTCTCGCATACTTTTTGCGTGATATCCATGCATACATGACACCCGTATCATGTATTCTCTCTGCAACTTATAATTTGCCACGTTCAATGGTTCTCATTGGATTCTGATATGTGCTTATTAAGTGCAGAAAATTCAAAGTCAGAGCTCTCTCCAAGTGATGTTGAGAGGTGTGAATGCTTTTCTGGATCTGTTCTGGGGATAACTCTTCATTATCAAATGTTTATCTTTCACATCCTAATATATGGACTGTTTCAGTTATGAATAAATGTCAGGTTTGTTATGCAGTAGACATTCTTTATGTTGCCTTCTTTATGTTTGCCTGGTTCATATTTGTGCTTCAGGGTACTCTGACACTCAACAACGTATCTGGCATTAGCCACAAACTAGTAGTAAGATCTTTCTTTCTTCTTGATTGAGATGTTATCTATTGTGCTTTTATATTTTAGATGGTCGCCCTATCCTTTAGTTCATGGGCAATGTTATAGTTCTTCCGAGAAGTATGATACTTGCTAAGGGTGATTCCAAAACTTAGTGTGAAAATGATTAGAATTAATTCTTCTGCTACATAAGTTTTTAAGCAAGGAGGAGGAGAAAATATTGATGCTATAACCTATGATAAGAGCACAATCTGCTACTGAGCACATACAAGTTTGTCAGTATTGATATGTATGTCTTTATCTCCATGATCAATAATGAGCCATACTTGGGGTTTTTTCATGCTTAAATTAACTAGCGATGCATGACGTTCGTTGCCCTTGAACAATTTAAATAATAATATTTTTTTTGTTGATTCTATAAAAATATAAATTTTATGTCTAATTAAATTAAATGTTAAATTTGGTGTCAAAAAATTAATCTATATTTTATTTCTTGTTAAACCTAATTATTGAAAAAAAAATTTAAATAATGAGCCATACTTGGGGGTTTTCATGCTTAAATTAATTAGAAAAGTTTATGGAGCAACTTAATTATCTCAATGTGTATGTTTTGTATTTCTAATGGCTAAAAATGCAAAGGTGGCAGGGTTGTATACAAGCTTGATTACGTGTCAGCGTGGTATCGATATCTGTTTAACTCCATTAATTATTAATTAACAAGTCATTATTTGGAGTTTCCATGCTTGAATTGCTGAAACAAGATTAAGGTGTGTTTCCTCCCCCATTCTAAACAGTAAAACAAAATGTTACACAAACATTGTAGAGAGGCATTGGGTGATACAAATGATTAAGTCCAAAACAAGTTGTAGGAAATTAACTTTGTAGGACTTAGAGTATAATCAAGGCAATGTTGAAATTTTCAGCTCAAAGAAACTTCAATGACTTTTTATTTTGTCTATAAAGCTTGAATTTTTTTTTATGCCTTTTATCTGCATTATGTAGGTGGATTCATATGCATATCTACCTCTGAATTTAGAACATTCCTTCGACTCTGATGCATCTGCTTCTCTTGTTGTATTTGAAAGAAGGTTTGCTTTCCCAGTAGCCCAGTAGACCCTGTTCATCTTGAAGTTGTTTTATTCTACAACATAGGCATTGAAGCTCGTTTAGAGCATCCTAACTTGGCATCCATTAGGATTCTCCAATGTAAACTACCGCCGATGTAGGTGTGCAGAACTTGCGAGTTTGAAAACTCATTGGTTGTGTTCAGTTACTCATACAATTTTCTATCTAGCTTTGCTGGTTCTTTTATCAAATTTCAGAAGTTTCCCTTCTTTTAGGTATGCCTACCTGGAAAATCATAATACTGAGCAAATTGTTGGATCAACAGACAAGCAGCCCCTTCTTGAAACTCCTGGCGAAGTAAGTGGTCAATTATTTATTGTTCTATGATATGTTATCAAGACCCTGAAGACAAATTTTAATTTTGTATTTCCAGTAAATATTTTTAGATTTGAACATCAAGAGAAATGTTCTTGCTTATACATTATCTGTTTGGTGCCAAGAATCAAACATTGTGATTTATTAAGGAGGCACACGTCTTGTTGAACCTTTTGAATTTTTCTTGGTATTCCAAAGGACAAGCTAAAATTTGTATTATATTGATGATGCTTCTTTTCCCTTTCCTGCCACCAGGTTTTCAAACTCAGTAAACTTCTTCCCACTTCTTTGCCTAACGACTTCAAAATCCACGTGAACTATATTTAGTTTCTGGGGTTGAATTCATGTCTTCATGTTGTTCAGGTTCATTATCTGCAAACATACAATTAGCTAATCATCTGAATTTTTTGTGTGGTATCACATTTCTAATATGGCAGTTCTAATGAAAAAAATGTAGGATTTTTTGAATGAGATGCCTAGAAATCATGCATTTTGGATTCCTTGTAGCAGTATTTTGTTGGGTTTTGTGGATATCATATTTTTCAGATTATTGGTTGTAACTTATTATTGTCCATTATTTTCGGTTTAGGCTAGAACTTATTTTTTATTTTTTTTCTTTTTTTCCCTCACATGGCAGGTCATGGATTTTCAACCTGGAGAATTTCTTAATGTGAAGGTATGATTTTCTTTCTGCTGTTTGAAACGATTTTTCATGTCCAAGATCTTAGTTCACAAAAAACTTATGTTTATCATTAAATATAGTTGCTTATGTAGTCATATGTATATTGGGGAAGGACACGGAAGTTGATGCAACATTAGATAAAAAAAAATTATGTGAAGCAATTGATGATTTAAAGCCTGGCTTTAAGCCGAACTCTGGTTCTCCGTACTTGGAATAAAACTATGTAAACTTTTCGTTATCTTAGTTTTTGGGTTTTGGCTTCTTCATTCTAATTCTTCAAACCTTCGAATAGATAATAAGACAACCTTATAGCTATAAATAAATTAGTAAAACAAGGTGTTTGGCTTGTTGGCTTTGGCAGGAGGTGCATTATAATGAGCACGGTTTGTTGCTTTTGGGGGGGCAGGGTGTTTATCGCCCAGGGGATAGCTGGTAAGGACTACATTCTTCTTTGAAACACGGAGAGTTTGTTTACTTTATTCTAGATCAGACAGATCTCATAATTATATTATTAGATTATGTATGATTGGACCTTTTATCCACAAGGAGCAAAATGGGAGAAGTTATTTCTTATTTGCTCTCTCTCTCTCTCTCTCTCTGCTGGGAACCACTGTTCTTTCACTGGCATAAGTTTTGCTTTCACATTTTGTAGGCACCACTTCTAATATCTTTCATCTCTTATTAATGCAATTGTGGTTGAACTTTTTTTTTTAAAAGTTTACCGTTGCTAATTATTTCTCACAGTGTTTTTTCAGTTGTATTCCTGCAACAGGTATCCCGTTTAAGCTGGTGATGCTATTTGGATGGCGCCGTTTGTATCTCAGTGGTAAATGAGGGATATTTGACCCGAGTTTCTTCCTCCGGGAATGCCAATTGATACAAACACTGATTGTCCTAAAATCTTCAGGTATGCTGGGCTTGGTAAAACCCGGGCATGCTATCTGTTGTACAAAGACGTAAATAGGAATCCACTGTGAATACTTTTGACAGATTATGTCTCTGGATTTCGACTCTATTGTTCTGAACATTGTAGATTACTGATGAAGCAGAATAAAAGGTTATGTTGTTTGTACACACAATATCAGATGGTTCTTGTCAATATGCTATATGAATTTATTGTGTATTGCTCATGGAATGTTAACCTATTTGTTGGGTTTTGTGGACAATATTAAAAGGCACCTAAGGATAGCATTTCAAACATATAACCAATGGGTATAATTCACACGGAGAGAGAGAGAGAGAGAGAGAGAGAGAATTTTGAAAAGTTGAAGTGCCAATGAAATTTAGTATATTGTGCTACACAATGGTCCCTATATACATGCTTCTGAGACAATAGGAGGAGCATTGATTGAAGATAAATTGGAAGAGAACCAATGCAGATGGTTTGGACATGTATAAATGGACTTATTAGAAAATTTTCCCTAATCACAGTCGGTCCAAATTGTAAAATTGACATGAAATGAGATAGTGAAGAAGACGTGGTAGTTTTGAGTTTGATAGAAAATATGATGTTGAGAGATTAGAACAATGAATAAAATGATTCATGTAATCGATATTGGACTTAGTTTGATTATTGATTTGATTGGTTATCTTGCAGCTATTCTAAACAAAACGAAAAATCTTTACCCAAAAAATCATATCAAAAAAATATCAGTATAACAATTTCAAGTATAGGTCAAGTTAATTAATGTTATATATTGCATTTCACATAATCTCTTGAGCATGATTGCATTTAACATAATCTCTTGAACATCATTGCATTCCAGATAATCACAAGCACACTTTTAACACAAATCTTTGGTGTTGAAGATCATTATTATCATCATGCATGTGGACTAACTTTCTAAGGCCAACACCCCTGCAGCCCAACAATATCATGAGGGACCCAATTGTATGGTCGATAATGTTCCACCTGGCACCAATCAGACCCTCTCTGAGAATTTAGCATTTTGGATTTAATAATGGTCGCCCCACCAATAGATGGGAGAGCACCACCACACTACCGACCATTCCTTTACCACTCTTTTCTTTCAAATTTCTATGATCGATGTTTGGATGCTTCTATACCAGCTTTCCTAAATGGGAATATTGGGATGAACATTATCTACTTTAGCACAAAAAGAGCTATATCTTTCCATTTGTTTTTCACATAATACTTTCTTCATAGTTATCATCGGTGGCATTAAGATGTCACTAAATTCCCTCCCATTGCTTCTTTTTGCTCATCAAAATCTCCAAACTCATCTTTCAAACAATTCTTCTTGGTGGTGAAATTCGAGTAAATAATTAGTATAGTGCTGAATACGCCATCATTAACATGTGGTATCACAATCTGATAACAAGGCACCACGTGTATTGGATTGTGTGGGACTTACATAGGAAGTAGTTGTCGAATTGTTTCGGTTATAGATACATATATGTGATAGTTATTGGACTGTCTTTTATCATGGGAGGAAATAAGGCCAAGTAAGAAAATGAAGCAATGTTATATATCCAACGGTCATCCACTGGTTCCTGTCTAATGTCTGTGCACTCTACCCCTGCTGTCTATGCACAAGGTGTTTGGCGTGGCAGTAAGGTTGCATTATTGTGGTGGAATTAAAGGTTCATATTTGTGCAACTTCAAGGTTTAAAGGCACACATCCAAATGAGAGAGGGTTTTTTTATTGATTTATTGAATTTTTCAACATTGGACTCAGCAGAGATGCTAATAGTATGGTTGACAAGTGTAGCTATTGCTTAAAGAGGTTCATAGTTAATAATCCGATTACTTTCACCCAATGCTTGTGCTGCCGTAGACATGCACCAGGAATAGAATCAAATCAAATCAAATCCTTTTCATAACATAACTCATATATATGTATATCTATATATTCTCTTTTTGAGGTTGTTCATTTATCATCATCATTTCCATCAAAATCTTCCATATTCCTTTAGTCCCATGAAAATGCTTTATAAAACAAGCAAGCAGACTCAAATAATGTACTGATGGAATGACCATAAGGTTTTGTTGATTTCTGGTTCGATTAAATGTGCCATGTTGGAAGTCAAGGATGAATGAGGGAGAAGAGGAATCAACAGGTTTCTTTGTCTAAATAGACTTGCAGTAAGTAACACTGCAGAGAAAGTACCATCAAGGAACTGGAGAGCCATAGCAGCTTCTGGGCTAAGTTCAAATTTATAAAAATGATACAAACTAAGTTTCACTGTACTCATCCAAGAATTTGGAAGCTTTAGCACCGTTTTGTTTCAATTGGTTTTGTTGAAGCTATCATATTTCTATTGGTATCATAATTAATTCATGAAAATATATCTTTTTTCCCATTTTTCTTTTATTTGAACTATCAGACATGTTCAAGTCCAGAAGATATATCAAAGTCATCATGGCAGTACGGTTGATTTGAGTTTGAGGCTATCTTATTCTGTTCTAAAATCAATATAGTCAACTTCAAAAGAAAGGTGGTTATTTGGTTTGCAAGTTGAAGAAAGTTTTGATGTCAATTTGTGACAGCTGCATTTCACTCATGATATTCCTGAAACATCATCGACCATCGAAAAAGAGCTGTAATGACCTTGATACACCATATTACTGGCTCTAAAGATTTTGTCAGTCATTTTTCTGATAAGGACATGCACTAAAGATCTTGGAGATACGCACAAAATGATAAAAGGAATCCACTTCAGAGATGCCAACTTCTCATGCCTTTATACTGAAATCAAAGTTCTTGTACTGTGGTAAGTCATGATTCACATTGAGAATATTTTCACACCACTTGGAGATAAAGTTACGCCAAGTTACTTTACAAATGCACTTTAGAGATGGCAACTAAATGTGAAAGTAGAAAACTTCATCTTGTCAGATGTATACATGTAAAGAACAAATGCAGCAAAATTCCAGAAAAGTTTCATATTCAGTTGTTAAAGGAGCCAGTTAAAGTGTTGTATCTCATGAATATGTATAAAAGTTGGGACTTTATTTATGGTTGGATTGCTGCCGAAAGAACTCTCTTTAGTGATACTGAGTGATTTTGATGGCTCTTCCATCCTATGATTCTCACCACCCCCACCCCCACCCCTCAAAAAAATAATTTCTTAAAAGATTGTGAAAAGTATTCTATTGATTTTATGATCTTTTTGGGCTTGCTAACTTATTGGTTGGCTGGATAATTCAGTGTATGAAACACAAAGTCCATTTCTGTTATGTTTAATATAAATTTTATGCATGAAATGCAAATAGATCATTCTCCATTGGCGTTGCAGCGCATGAGATGAAGAAATGATTAGATTAGCTAATGTGGGGGTGGTCATGGCAATGCTATTTTATCATTTTACTTTTGTTTTCTTGTTAGAAATGATAAGTTTCTTTCTGTTGATGGCAGACCATCTCTCTTTATTGTTTAGAATGGAAATCTTGAAAATTTAAACTTGTGATGATTCAGAAGCAGTTCATAAAAGGACAGAGGCTCAATCACTATACAATTTGGTAAGTTATCTTTTTGTCTTGTTCATTTTCAGGGCCTGTAATTGACATAAATCTACTTTTTCCTTGTCACTTTCCTTTGATTTTGTATGTTATTGGTTTCTGCTGGACAAACTTTCATTCTTTCAGGCCTACTGTCTTTCTTATTCATTGTTGTAAAGCCCCACTTTTATTTGGTGTTTCAAAAATGTGATGTGAGGTAATGATCATATTGAAAGTGGTACCTTGAGATGAATTCTTTATTTTCTGGTAAGAAAAATTTAATCAACCGAACAAAAAAAAAATGAGCATACACATATATACAAGGGGTACCCAGGTGGAAACCATGCAAACAAGTCAAATTCAGAAAGATTGCTTATAGTCGGATCTGAGAACCTGCCATACAATCGGATATCGGTGCAGCTTTCACGATGCAAAAGTACCCATATTTCATGGGTGCAATGACTCAAGAAAATACCAGCTCAACAAGCCCTACACTATGGTAGATGAAATATAACCAGTGATTTAAAATATTATTTGACACAAACAAACTGAACCACAAATTAACTAAACAAGTATTATGCTTTCTCAATCCCCAATCCCTCTTGAATATCTGTATATTTTTACTCCCAAAAGGCTAAGCAAGCCCATGATCTTCTTACTTATTGGAATCATTGTGACAATTCTTTAAAGAAAAAGGTGTGATAGTGAGGAATGGGTGTGTGAGGCCTCTGATTGCAACTTGCATCCATTCCAATCCATGAATACTGGCTTTTGTTTTTAATAAATGAATGATTAATGAAGTAATAATCATTTCCTATCAACTGCTGTCAATTTGCCCAATTTTATAATTCCAACATGAGTGTCGTCTGAGGGGTGTCTTGTTACCTTTAACCCTCCTAGGGATGGAAGTCAATAATGGGTTTCCTTGAATGCATATGGGTCCTAGATAAAAATTCTGAGTTAGAGTTGCAAAGGAGGTCCTTTTTCCCTTGAAGAGGAGGCATAGCCAAGGGAAAGGCTTTGCTTTCTCTATGGTTTTATGACGATTTCACAGAGTAAGGATTTGAGAAGAGGGTGGGTTGCTATGATGCACCCGTCAACCTCCAAGTGGGGGTTGGGGAGGGGGTGTGTGTGTGTGTGTGTATGTGGAGGGGTGGGCCTCATATATTGCTCCCACAAGCAACTTTTATAAAATAAAAGACCAGACTGCAGCTTCAAATCTAAATGAAAGTATAGCTAGATTGTTAATCACAATGTAAAGTCATGCTTTATCAGGGGAAAAGAATATGTTGATGAGCCCTTATCTCGTTTGACCAGACTTATGCGCGTGTACTCCTTTTAATCATAAACTTGAAATTAAAACATGTTATAAATAAAATCACAAACAAAATAACAACGCAACGAAATAGAAAAATAGAACACAAAGATTTACGTGGTTCGATTCAATAAGTAAGCCTATATCTACGAACGAAACACAACGTCAAAATTTCACTATTGAAAGGTTGAAGATTACAACGTTCTTAGAACAAATCAAAGAGAAAACTAGATATCTGTTCTATTCCAATAATAAAATATTTATTGGATTTAACAAAATAGAGCAATATCAATTTATCACACACAAAGAAAATTCTTGTACCGTCGTCAATGGCCAACCACTAACTCACTGGAGAAGACGTCATTTTTATCTAGCTTCTGGACTAAGGAATTTGATTCCTTCACAAAGTCTTTATGCTGAGGAGGTCTCACGTGTAGGACAAAAAACTAAAGACTCCTTGAAGGCTTTGAGTTTAAACAACAAAAATCCATGTTGGACTAAACTCCACTAAAATAATAAAACCAAGATAATTCTAATTAAGATCAAACTTGTCTATCAAGGACTCCAATGAAAGCTCATGTTTTCAATTAGAGTCCATATAAAAAACAATTGACTTGAATACAAGTCATTACAACAAATCTCCACCTTAACTTGTATTCCATCTATCCATCCAACCAATGTGAACTTGATTGCTGTTTTTGTCAAATACCCCGAAGGGTACACTCAAATAGTGTAGACACCAATCAAGTCCAAGCAATGCTTGAACTTGAACACTGGTACCGGCTTAGTAAACATATCTGCTAGGTTCTCCGCTGTAACAACCTTTTTTACTGTGACAATACCTTGAGCTATAATTTCACGAAGAAAGTGATACCTAACATCAATGTGCTTGGTACTTTCATGATACATCTGATTTTTGGTCAAATGTATTGCACTTTGACTATCACAAAACATAGGAGTTACCTCTTTATCCAAGCCCAAATCACAGACCAAATCTCTTAACCAAATTGTTTTTTTAACTGCCTCTGATACTGCCATGTATTTTGCCTCTGTGGTAGGCAAAACAACTGTAGACTATAGGATCGCCCTCCAATTTACAGTGCACCCAAATAAAGTAAAAACATAACCAGAGATCTGCTTTTATCTAGATCACCCGCATAATCTGAATTAACAAAACCAACAACTGTAGAATCGATGTCATCTCTTCTACTAAATACTAAGCCAACATCTGTAGTACCTCTCAAATAACGAAATATCCATTTCACAACCTGCCAATGCACCTTCCTAGGATTAGTCATGTAATGGCTAATCATACTAACTGTCTGTGAAATATTCGGCAGAAATTAAAGTGAAAATTAACTTTTGAAATGCCAAAAAAGATAACAGTCTATATCACACTGCAATAAGTACATGGTCAGGTTATCCAAGCAACTAAACTCAACTGGATGATAACCATGATTTGCTAACTCGAGCATTTAAAAACTGTTAGCCTAATGAAAATTGCTATATAACATGAGCTACAATGTTGACAAAAACTAAAGTGATCCTACTTACTGTAGAAAAAGTCTCAAAGGCACTTCATAGTTAAGGATTATCCTTGCTGATTCCTCCCCCCAAAAAAGGCATTTTGTTCCTCAACGGGTGACTCTGTTCCTCTTCCCTTTTTCCAACTTTTTCTGTATGTTGTCTCTTCTGATAAACAAAACAAAGCACTTCTTACATATGAAATGACATTGTAAGTGTTCCTTTGGCATAATAAAAAAGCATCAAATACTACTACAGATACTATGGCAATGGCCCCTAAGGAAGAGAGGTGAGGAATGAGGTCAATGCACCACTCGGGAAAATCGAAAGCAAAAGCTACCACTCCGTCCTACCACCCTCCTGAGTGCAACTTAACAACCAATCAGATAGTAAGACATAAAATGATATTCCACTCTCCTTATTCTATGCTTATTATAGTGGTGTGAATATGCTTACTACTGTATGGTTTGTTAGAATAATGCAATCTTAATAGCATCAAATGCGTCCTCATCTCAATCATCATATTTTGTACCTTATGCTATGTATGACTCTTTAATTAAACGCTTGAGTTTAGAGGTAACCGGTTAACCGAAATTGGACTTTACTAGAAAATGGAATGTGTATTGCCCACTCCTAGGTCAGTTAAGAGGGAAAACTTTTACAAAACATGGCAAGTAGCAGAAAATATTGATCTAGTTTGGCCCTGCTTGAAAAAAAAACACTCTGCCTATGCTCATGTAGTTGGTGTCTTATTCATAGCTTTTTGTTTTATTATTTCATACTCCTGAAGCCAAGTTGGCTCCCATCTAATGACATCAGGAAGTACTGTTTGATTAAATTATGATAATGAGCCACAGCAACATCCATTGAAGAATTGGTTCTCTTTCGGTGTTAAGTTTTTAATGTTTAATGCCTGGAGTTTGTGAAGAAGCATGTATAAATTTCTATTCGGGCCTAACTGTTTTGGTGTTTGAAAGAGGATTTGATTCTAATGTTCTTGCAAAACATTTCATTTGGATCTACAAAGGGCTACAACAAATTACAAGTTGCAGATACAGTAATGTTAGGTAAGGTTGTGCTGTTGACTTGAAAAACAAAAGAGGACCACAATTTACTTAGCATTTTCATTGGCTAATAATTTTTCTCTTTATTAATGTGAACTTTAGTCTCTGTTTCATGACTCTAATGATTTTGTTTTGGAATCATGATTCACATCTATATAGCCACTCATTCAAGCATGACTATACTGCAGACCCTTCTTATTGTGGTCAGCCAACAGAACCTGTCAATCCCCACAGCATTATAAGCCAAGTAGATGTTGATAGAAAAATGGCTCAATGAAGCAAAAATCGAGCCTCCCTCCGTGACACGTTGGAAACAAAAGAGATCATGGTCCACTTTATCTGAACCTAATATCTTGCGTTGGTAAATGCCTTTTGGATCAGCAAGGAGAAAACGATTTACAGGGACTGATCAGTCAGCGATGCTTTGATTTGAATGATGGTGAACATGAAAATGGGATATTGATAGATTACAAATCAAGAAGGCTTCTTTTACTCTTTTTTCTCTCACTTGCACAATATTTTGATTAGATTTGAAACCAAGAGAAAGAACCTTTTTGACTTCAAAAAAGAAGAGGGCGGCATAAGATAAGCATGGTGCTGATGTTTGTAACACCTTCTCCCACTTGTTTTCTGATACCGGACTTTCAGTTGTCCAACTGTTAACTGCTAGAGTACTGCTTAGTTTTCTTTATGTAATTGATCTAAGTACAGAAAATTCTCCTAGGCTACTTGTAAAAGTAACTTGACATCGTTCTATTGGATGAAGTGACTGAGATGTCCACTATAAGAAAAGAAGGTTTCCTTGATTGAAAGGCTCACTCTTGAATCAGAAAGGGATAGCCTAAAACCTCGGTTGTTGCAGAATTATATCTGTGATGCAGATACAGATAATAGGTATATGCCTAGAGATCTATGAATTACCGGATTAGAGAAGGGTACATTCTACTAGATCAAGCCTGCATGAATTTAAGAACAGAAAATTGATTAGACTGCGAAGAATTTTATAAATACAAGATGCTTAACTTACTATTTAATTGCTGTTTGCATCTCCACCCTGATTTGATTCTGGTAGAAATCTAGAACACCATCTTTACCAAGCTTAGAATAACTTATCTTGAAGCACATTGTTTTCAACTCGAAAAGGCTTAAGAACCTAACTTTTGCCTATCAGGAAAACTCATCATTTTTACACTTTCAGTAAGCATTATCCAGTAATATTACCAGGCAACATGGCCATACCACCAGTCATTGTTGGATAGTTGCTATATATTGGTCAGTTCTCAATAAAGTATTGAAAAAACTGAAATTTGATGCTCAGACCTTCATATTTTTTTATGAAGTCATCCACCAAACAAAAGAAAGAGATTGTGTTTTATATAAGAACTAATGCATGGAATAGTATGGACACAGATATCTGGACCACTTTGACAGCAACAACATTAGGATTATGGACAAGAATAGAGAAAGGGAACCCGTGATTTACAAAAATATTAAGATTAATAGGGTCGATATCTGTAATAAGATATACCACACACAACGCCCAACGGTAATGGACATCATTATAAAATTGGAAGCAAAATAATTTTCACCGCGATCCATACAACTAAACTCTCCCTTCTGCAAGGTGAAAAACAAATTCACCTCACCAGATTGCTAATCAAAGCAGTGCAATTAACATTATGTATTCAATGTGTTAATCATGTGAAAGAAGGCAGCAAATTTTGCACTGTTATGTTTGGGACACCTCAGTTTGACTAGCTACTACCCTTTTCAAACAGAGTTTTGTCACACTTAATCATCCCTTTTGTTGTACTTGTTGCTATATGATATGAGACTACTTCATATGAAAAAATAATTATACGATTGGTCTCTGACCCTCTCAAAACCTCGTAGTGGCGGAAGCTTTACGCACTGGTCGGTGTTTTAGGATTTATAGTTTTAACGAAGCATGACATGACCACTGTACAGCTGCAAGCTTGCAACTATACATTTTGTTGAGGAATCAAGTCCAATATTCTCAAGACTTGAAGAAGAAGTCTTTAATTAGTTGCTTTAACAAAGTGTGGGATGCCAGTCACATCTTTTCAAAGCTTTAGTTGAGGGAATTCAAAAAGATTAGGTCAAAGCCCTCTTCCCTTTGTGATTCCTCTTACAAGCTTTGTTTCAAAATGGTTGGAGCTTTTTCCACCTTTTCTTGCATGCTTCTCTTAGAGAAGACCCTCTTTGGAGTCTTGGGGCTCTAAAAAGCTGAGGAAGAAGAGAGTTCAAAGGACATTATGGTCATTTTATACAGAACCAAAGGACAAAAAGGTACTTTCACTAAATCTAGGGATACCCATTGGGGTTCTTCATATCACCCTTGAGAAAAAAAGTATCAAGAAATATTCTCTCCAATGCATATTTAAAACCACCCCCAACCTTCTCATGGAAGCCAAAAACACTCACTAAATCACTAACCATGGCCTCCCTTAATCAACCATCACACAGAAGCATCTTCTTCTCCACTTGTCTTCATTCTCTCTCCCAAACACCTCACAGGCTTAGAAAGAGAGTGTTAGCAACATGGACACCAGACCAAGAACTCAACAAAGTGAGGCTAAGATCTGGTGCAGACATGAAAAGAAAGCTCACGTGGTATGATTTAATGGCTCTTGGTGTTGGAGGAATGCTTGGTGTTGGAGTGTTTGTCACAACCGGTCCGGTTGCCCGGAATAACTCTGGTCCTGCAGTTTTCATTTCATATATCATTGCTGGTATTTCTGCTCTCCTTTCTTCTTTGTGCTACACTGAATTTGCCATCGAGATTCCGGTAGCTGGAGGTGCCTTCAGCTATCTAAGAGTGACCTTTGGTATGAATACTCATGCTTAAAATCTTCACTTCTCATTTCTAGCCAATATTTAGTGACGGGTAAAAGATTATAGTTCCAAAAAGTTATTTTTTGGTAAAATAACGAACGTTATGTTTTATTTCATAAGGATTCAGTTGATACAAGTCTATAACACTATCTTTTGAAATGTTACAGGTGAGTTTGTGGGTTATTTTGCTGGGGCAAACATACTAATGGAGTATGTACTATCAAACGCTGCTGTTGCAAGAAGTTTCACGGAGTATCTGTGCTGTGCCTTCGGAGGGAACGATCCGAACTCATGGAGAGTTGAAGTAGATGGATTAGGGGAGGGTTACAACATGTTGGACTTCCCAGCTGTTGCATTAATATTTCTTCTCACTCTTTGTTTGTGTCACAGGTTTGTTATCTTACTACCTTAATTATTATTGTTTATTTTCACTCGATCTTCCATTCTTGCTGCTTCTATTAATCGAGGAAGACTTCCTCGGATCTAATTATTTGCATTTATATGGGTAAGTTTGGCCTTGGGTGATCTATATTCATTTGCTGTTTATGAACATGCCTTCATTAGATTGGGAGAGGTTAAAGGTTAAAGTTACTAACTCATTGTAGTATGACAGGACTAATATTGTTATTGTTAAAAGTAGTGTGTTTACTGATTCTCTCATAAACATATGCATTACACTATTCATAATCCTTCATGAAATTCCTTATTTGTTGTTATTGGAGTATGAAGTATTGACCGGTGAAAGTGATGGATATGTGTGATTTGGGGATTGCAGTACCAAGGAGAGCTCTACAATGAACCTTATAATGACAGTCTTCCATGTGATTTTCTTTGGGTTCATTATAATTTCTGGTTTCTACAATGGAAGTTCAAAAAACTTAGTAAAACCCGGAGGCCTAGCTCCTTATGGTGTTAAAGGTGTCCTTGATGGAGCAGCCATAGTTTATTTTAGCTATATAGGGTATGACTCAATTTCAACCATGGCAGAAGAGATAAAAAACCCTTCAAAGAGCCTCCCGGTGGGCATCGTTGGATCGGTTCTCATCGTCTCTGCACTTTATTGCTTCATGGCCTTGTCTTTGTGTGCCATGGTACCTTATAACGAGGTTAGTTTTTCAATTTTCTTCAATGAAATAAATTTAAAGAATGTTATATATGCTTTGACAATGTATTATAGGCCAAACTATAGTAGGCCTTTATCTGAATTTTCTCTTAATGCACCTTCCTTATAATTAGGCATTCTTCAAATGATTCATAGATATCGAAAAGAGCATCATTTTCGATTGCTTTCCAAAACATGGGGTGGAAATGGGCAAGCAACGTTGTCGGCGCCGGTGCAAGCCTGGGAATTGTGGCTTCTCTCCTGGTTGCCATGCTTGGCCAAGCTAGGTATCTTTGTGTTATTGGGAGGGCTCGGCTTGTGCCATCATGGTTTGCCAAGGTGCATCCTTCAACAGGCACTCCTTTGAATGCAACTCTCTTCTTGGGTAAGTACTAGTTTGTCTCTCATCTCAAGTTTTATGTCTCACTTGATTGTTTTTCAAGAATAACATTTTACTTGTTAATTTTTCTCATGAAATTAAGTTTTTTCCCTTTTTTTGACCAAACCCCCCCTTTTTTTAAAGAAGTAAACAGTATACTCATTTATAAACTTCTCTTATATGATATTGTTTATCAATCATTTTTACCACAAAGCCAGTCCATGATTTCTGAATTTTCACAAATGAGGGAACATCATATATCATATGACCAGAGAAGTTTTCATCAAACCATGTTCTATGCAACTAATAAAATGGCCATGATCTGGGGTGAAGGGATGGATCCTTTGCTCATACTCATTCAATTGGATGATCAAATTCGAAGATTATGTTTCGCAATTTTATAATCTAATTTTTTAATTTCTAAGTAACTTTGGATATGAATCACGATAATGTATATTGTTCATTGAATATGTCATTGAGAGATAAAATATTTAATCTTTTATGAAATAAAGTTTTTGATCGAAATATGAATCAAACTGGAAGACCCTTAACTATCAACTTAAGAGTGAATTTCTCATCAACCTTTAAAAAAATTTTCTTATAGAATTTTCAGGTAAAATCACTCTTAATTGTCAATGGGATGATCTTTATTTATGATATTCATCAGCTAATGCTAAATTAACAATGGTTATTCTTTGATCAAGATGACTGGTGGAATAAAGCACTAAGCTTATTGAACAAGAAAGCTACAATTCTACCAAAATTCTGATTTAATTACCCAAAAGATCACTAAAATCACATCAAGGAAGATATTCAAACTGGATAATTCATTTATCTCGTGATTCTAATAGTTTTTTTTTTTTTTTAAATTTTTTCCTAATAAAGCACTTTCCAGTAAGATTCAACTCTTGTTCGGTTTAAGCTCGGTTTGTGTAGGATTTGACCTGTGTTCTAAATAAATTAAATTTGAACAATTTTTTAGGTTCGTGTTCTAAAAGACTCAATTCGAGCTAGTAAAATTTAGTTCGTTTATATGTAAAAAAAAGTCAAGTTATTCGGACTCAGCTCGACTCGACTTATTTTCTAAACAAGTCGAGTTTAAACAATTTTTTAAATTTATTTAAGAAAAAGAGTTCAATAGGCTCGGCTCAACTATCGGCACTACTTTCCAGCTATTAATCTACCTAAAAATGAGGCAAAGCAAAAAAAAGGAAAACCAATTGATGAATCTTTACAATTTCGTGTAGGGGTTTGCCAAGCTTCAATTGCACTGTTCACCGAGCTGGAGATTGTGATACAGATGATATCTATAGGCACACTGCTGGTGTTCTACCTAGTGGCCAATGCTCTTATATATCGTCGATATGTGATCACTAGTAACAACCCTCCATTCCAGACTCTACTATTTCTCTCCCTCCTCTCATGTAGCTCAATTGGCTTCTCATTATCATGGAAGCTCAAGCAACAATGGTGGGGCCTAACTTTATTTGGTGCTTCCATTGTCATCATCACTGCTTTCTTCCACTACACAGTCCCTTGCCTCCGAAAATCTTCCGATTGGTCGGTGCCATTCATGCCATGGCCGGCGGCAATATCCATCTTCCTTAATGTTTTCCTCATGACAACATTAAAGAAACTTTCATACCTACGGTTTGGTATATGGGCATGTATAACAACTTTGTTCTATGTACTTTATGGAGTTCACTCCACATATAAAGCAGAAGAAATGGAGCTGGTTGTTGATGATGGTGTGAACATAAACTCATCCACCCAACAAGCTAATAAGCTTGATATTCAAGTGCTGTAATCAAATAAGAAGTTAAGTTTTGTACTGTTGTGCTGTCCCTTTCCCTTCTTTTTCTTTTTTTCTTTCTTTTTGAGCAGTGTCTCTTTTGTGTTTTATGGTTGTAACAAACATTTCATGGAATTCCTAATAAGCAAAAGGAATTCCAATGAATGGAGACATAACTGCCCAACCCAAGTCATAAGAGAGAGAGAGAGAGAGAGAGAGAGAGAGTATATCCTACTCAGATTTTTNTCTTGTTCGGTTTAAGCTCGGTTTGTGTAGGATTTGACCTGTGTTCTAAATAAATTAAATTTGAACAATTTTTTAGGTTCGTGTTCTAAAAGACTCAATTCGAGCTAGTAAAATTTAGTTCGTTTATATGTAAAAAAAAGTCAAGTTATTCGGACTCAGCTCGACTCGACTTATTTTCTAAACAAGTCGAGTTTAAACAATTTTTTAAATTTATTTAAGAAAAAGAGTTCAATAGGCTCGGCTCAACTATCGGCACTACTTTCCAGCTATTAATCTACCTAAAAATGAGGCAAAGCAAAAAAAAGGAAAACCAATTGATGAATCTTTACAATTTCGTGTAGGGGTTTGCCAAGCTTCAATTGCACTGTTCACCGAGCTGGAGATTGTGATACAGATGATATCTATAGGCACACTGCTGGTGTTCTACCTAGTGGCCAATGCTCTTATATATCGTCGATATGTGATCACTAGTAACAACCCTCCATTCCAGACTCTACTATTTCTCTCCCTCCTCTCATGTAGCTCAATTGGCTTCTCATTATCATGGAAGCTCAAGCAACAATGGTGGGGCCTAACTTTATTTGGTGCTTCCATTGTCATCATCACTGCTTTCTTCCACTACACAGTCCCTTGCCTCCGAAAATCTTCCGATTGGTCGGTGCCATTCATGCCATGGCCGGCGGCAATATCCATCTTCCTTAATGTTTTCCTCATGACAACATTAAAGAAACTTTCATACCTACGGTTTGGTATATGGGCATGTATAACAACTTTGTTCTATGTACTTTATGGAGTTCACTCCACATATAAAGCAGAAGAAATGGAGCTGGTTGTTGATGATGGTGTGAACATAAACTCATCCACCCAACAAGCTAATAAGCTTGATATTCAAGTGCTGTAATCAAATAAGAAGTTAAGTTTTGTACTGTTGTGCTGTCCCTTTCCCTTCTTTTTCTTTTTTTCTTTCTTTTTGAGCAGTGTCTCTTTTGTGTTTTATGGTTGTAACAAACATTTCATGGAATTCCTAATAAGCAAAAGGAATTCCAATGAATGGAGACATAACTGCCCAACCCAAGTCATAAGAGAGAGAGAGAGAGAGAGAGAGAGAGAGTATATCCTACTCAGATTTTTGGCCTATCTTTTTCAATGTTGTTCTATCTGTCATGATACCTCCATCATGAATTCTAGCGTGATGTCCAAAAGATCAAATTTATTGAAGTGGTAAAGATGATTGAGGTCATCTTGATTTGGCCATTGCTAGTCATGATGAGTGCAGTATTGAACCCTCTTGAAACTTTTAGCCATTTGTTGAATTTTGTCATTTCCTATAGCTAGTCCAAAACAAGGCAAGCTGATTCATCTTTCTCTCTCTCTCCCTCTCTCTAGTGGTTTTTTTCTTCTTGTTATAATAGGCCCTCTAATGTATTATTAGACTGTAATAACTTCTGAAATGTTGTTATTTTTTGATAGACAGCTTGAAAAATGTTACTAACATAAAAGTTATATGAGACACTATTTCTTTTTTCCTGAGAGTATTAAAACTGTATGCACCACTAGAAAAAGACTCCTTATCAAGTGTATTAATGTTTTTTTTCCATCCTGATCAACTTTAAGGTAAAAAAGAAATTTGTATATATCCAAGTGTGTCAGTGTGTGTGTTGATAACTAGAGGAGGCTGACTTCTTTTGATTGTACATGCCTTGTCTTATGCAAATGTGAAAAAAGCTCATGGCGGGGTCTGTGTAATGGGCACTCTTGAATCGGACCAAACCATTACCTTTCCTCTTGATCTGATGTGCTAAAAAGAAAGTTCTCTTTTTTATGACTTCCACTTACCAATCCCGACTCATAAAAGTGACTGACTAGGTCCCCATTGGCGAATGAAAGAAAGAGTTTATGGGCACTAGCCTTGTAAGCCCACACTTGTATAGAATAGATCATTCAACACCTACGACACAAACCCATTTTGGCCTATTGGTCCTAGTATCATATATTGTCGGCTTTACTCTATCTCTAATTGCTACATATGAGGAGCAAAAGTTACTGAAAGTGTTTTTTTTTTTGGGTGTGGAGAGAGAGAGAGAGAGCTTAGCTACATGTAATGCTTGCAGCAAGGCTCAATGTGAAGTGACACAGATTGTGGCAAGAAGAGAAGATTACTAGATTGTATATTAAAGTGAAAAGAATAGATTTGCAAATTTATTTTTTTTAGTAGTATTGCGGTGCAAAGTCTGTGTTGAAAGGGTGGCTTTGTGCACTCCTGTTACAATAAATCTAGAAAGAATTAAATGTATATGTAGATAAATTATTTGTGTAACTCAGAACATCTGACATCTAATTGCAATGTGGAGCAACTTTTTGTAATTATGCAACTCTTATAGAAGGCCTATTAACAAAACGAAGACGCCATTGCTTCTCTTGTGATGTCAATGGATATGTATGATACTTTCTCTATCAATTAACTCACAAACTACTTTGTTCCTGAATTACATGATTTTCTTTCACTTTCCTAAAAAATTAATGACATATATAAGAGAAATATTTTTTATTTGGTGATACGATGAATCATTGTCATTAAAGTTAGTTCCAATGGTAGAGAAAGATAAAATCACTAAATAATATTCATATAGCATTATCCCGATAATAAAGGAGTTAAAAGATTAAAATGATGAGAAATTGAAATTCACAGATAGATGGAATGGGTTTATTCGAGTGATTAGATCGAACCAGTGTAGTGTCTGGTCCCTCATCAAAAAGAGTTAGACCACTGGTTTGGTTACATTGTGGAGTCTTTGAGAACAATGATATGACCCTACGATTAGCCTGTTATAATGATCACAAAGAATGTTGATAGTGGGTCATATCACATAGGTTCTGTCTTTAAGGATTTTGAGGATCCATTTTTTCCTAACTATTCTCACTCTCTCTCCTCTTTTGGACCATACTCCAAAATGTATGCACGCAACAATATGAGAGATCTTTTGAGCTGATTAGGCCAGCAGCTTCAATCCAATACTGGGTCCATTTAAGAGGATTTATTAGTTTACAAATGCCTCCCAGTTTTTCTTTTTGTTCAAACACTATTATAGAGAAGAGGATGATGGTGTTCGAACCCGCGGCCTTAGGTCCAACAGTGGGGACAATGACCTCCATTAACACAACATTGTCTCATCTAGTTAGGATTGAATATATAAATTGCAAATGGTCTGTCATACCACAAACACCTAACATTGGCATTGCCATTGATGATGAACATGACGATGTAAGTATCGAATATGATGACCATTGCTCCTCCTTACCTTACTGGTGCAGCTATTGATCCTCCTACTCCATTTCATCCATCAATTATCTTTCTTTGCCTTTTATTTTCTCCAAGTTATATCTAGGATATAGACCCAAAGCTATGACCCTGCTGCTGAAAATTTAACTACACCAACCAAAGCCCACAAAATAGAAGACTAAATGCAGCTCCATCTTATAGTTTTTTTGTGCTGGCTGCACCATTGATGTAACACGAAAATGGCAGTGATCAAGGCATCAATCATGGTTAATTTTAGTGAGAGTATCAAGAAATTATAAAAGAACCATTCTTGAAATCTCTCGTTCAAGTCAAAAAATGCATGTTTATGTTTTTACTTTTTACGCTGAGCTTTAGGGAGGGGTATTTTACTAATTCTACATATTCTATTTGATTTTTTTTAGTAATTTTGAATTGTTACGGTCTTTTATTTATATTGGCCTGTAAAAATTATTCAAAACCTTTGATATATTTTCAGAGAACATTTTCTATGCTTTTTAGGTGTGGCATTCTTAGGAATCAACAACATACCTAGTGAAGGATCCTTTCCTAAAATTATTCAGATAATCAACAAATCAGAATTTTCTGTGCTATCCCGGTTCATCGAATCACGCTCCCTGCATCATCCATGGTACATCGGAATGATTTTTGATTTCCTTTGAACAGGTATGAGAGTTACTGTTCAATTGAACTGAAACTTATTTACAGCATGGGCTTGCTGGCCTGGTTCTGATCTCCATTGCTTTTTTCCTGCTTCCCTTGTGATGTTGTCTCGCTTTGATCATGTGATTTATGACTTTTATCTCAACTCTACAATCTTTCTAAAACACTATAATAATTCCTCAAAAAGATGAAACTTAACTTTGAGAAAGAAGCTGCAAAGGTGCCACGCTCTCCGTTTTCTCGCTTGTTCACTGATTCCACTTCCACAAACCGGCACTGGCACCAACTTTATAACCAGAACTAGAACATGCAAGAGGGGAACCGATATACTGATGGGGCGGTAGATTAGCAGCGGGCAATGGAGGTTGCTGGAGACTTAAAGAGTCATATTCAATGTTACATAAAAGACTAAAAAACCGTCCCAAAATAGTCGGAATTAAGACACTTTAGTGTTAAGAGTACACAAATGACTAAAAAATGTATTACATCTAATCTACACAATGACGCCAGTTTCTGAGAATCCTAAGCTCCCATATCAGTTGTGCATCACTCCAGAGGTTCAAGCAAAGCCTTAGCCACAAGGTCAAGCAAAGGTAAAGCACTCAGAGCACATGTTTCAGTCTGGACATTTTCTTAGGACAACAAACCATAACTGCAGATGAACAGAGTTTCATAACTTCACACACTATTGACATCTATGATTAATACAACCATAAATAGAAAGATACTCATAACTTCAAACGCCTTGATCCAATACGAAGAGATCAATAAAAGGAAAAATATACATTAGGAATTTCGAGCCAAATTCACACTCTAGGATGAAATCAATATCACATAACCAAACTATGTCCGAATAATAGATCACAGTTAGAACAAGGGAAGAAAGCAACCACTTAACAAAAGGTCTAACTATCAAATATATTACATCTCACTAGTTAACATGTTAACAATAATAATAATAAAAAAAAACCCATATTTTCCAACCAAATATTGGAAATGAGCTAGAAGCAAAAACTACAGCCCCAAATCCCAATGTTTCAGCTATGATTCAGGTGCTACGGTCGTTGTCACCTTCTTCTTATTCTCAAATAATCCCTTCACAAAAGCATCCACAATCTGTTTCTGAGACTCAAGAATCAACTCATTACGTTTCATCTCCATCTCCATTCGCATTTTCTCAATATCCCTTGCCATATCCATCTTCATTTTCTCCATCTTCATAAACCCTTCTCCCAAAAACTTAATTGATGACACAATCTCTTCGACTGGATCCCTCCCTCTCTTATTCCCTTTACGACTACTAGTTTCCCCAAACCCTACTCTCGAAGAAGAGTAAAACCCATTTATATTGTTAGAATCTAGGTTAGGATTTGAATTCCCATCATACCTCCCACTATACTTCCCCCTAAACCCCGCAGGCACTGTATTCTTATCACTTCGTATTTTCACCCAAAAGCCACCATCTTCGTCACCGCCATTAAGCTCACCCCCATCACACTCATAATCAGTTTTCAACTTCCTACCAATCTTACCAAACTTTTTTGCCCTGAACCCTGGAGTTACCGAATCCTGATCAATTGGGTTTTCTACAAGAAATCCAGGACCAACATCAGCAGTTTCACCACCATCATGATCAAAATCTCTCAAATTCCCATACATCTTACCAAATTTCTTCGCTTTGAAACCTACAGTCACCAGATTTGGATCAACAGGGCCTTTAACTGGAAACCCAGTTCCAAAATCCATCCCATCATCCAGATCTTTGTCATCTCCAACATCCATGTATGAAGGATATCCATTCAAAGCCCTAGGACCAAAATCAGGGCTAGCTTTTCCATTTAACCTTCCACAACTTTTTACTCGAAAACCAAAACCGGGGTTTGAATCTCCATCATTTTTTTTATTATTCTTCAAATTAGACCCTAATTTCATCGAACTCTGATCAATTAGGGTTTTGAATCCGAACCCATTACCAGAATTGCCTTGATCACCAATTTCTTGCGTAGAACCAACGGTAGGGGACGACCCATTCGGATTTTCCATGAAATCCATGTTATCATAGAAGAACCAGGAGGAGAAGAATTTACCAGGGAAGGAGAGAGCGCGCTGTTTCTCGGCACGGTAGCGCTGGCGGAGCTTCTCCATCTTGTGGCGGCACTGGGCGGAGGTTTTGGCTGGGGAGGCGTCGGGGCAGCGCTGGGCCACCGTACCGGCCACCGCCTCCCAGTCGGCGGTTCGCAGGTAGCCACGACGGAGGGCGTACCATCTGTCCTTGTAGGCTTCGATTAGGGCTAGAGCTTCTTCCTGGGTCCAACATGGTGGTGGGAATTTCCGCGGTCGGGGGTTTTCCGTGGTTGTTGTGGCGGACATGGGTGGTGCTGGTCAGATAAGGGAGGGGGTGATGGTTTAGGCGGAGGCTTAGACAAGTAGTGGTGGTATTAGATGAGGTTGAGGTGGAGGTGGGATAATTATCTACGCAGATCTACGGAGGCATAAAAGTGGAATATCAAGGGGCATGCCCGGGGTGGTTACGATTCAGCGGAGGCGCACTTTAGCAAGATAGTTATGGTAATACGCGCGGTGCTGGCGGTGGCAATTTGCGGCGATCGTGATGAAAGTAACAGATCGGACAAGCGTGGTGGTGGATCTGGGTGGAAAAGGAGTAAGAAGCTAGCAAACTGGTGGTGATGAGTGATGGATCGTTGCTGATGGTGTATAAATGGATTATTTGAAGGGATTGGATATGGGTGGAGGTGGGGGATATGGAATTAGGGTGGTTGGTTTTTAACGCAAGAGTTAGGGTGGGTGGGGAAGAGGTGCACGACAGCAAGAAATGGTGGGTGGGTGGTGGAGATGATGGTAGTTGCTTGTTGATATGGGTGGGGCATTGAATGTAAAAGGAGATTAGTGGACACCGAATTGCGTGGGTGGGTGGATGATGATGAAGATGATGTAGATGTTGATGCTAGCGTGCAAGGGTGTGTGCAGTGCACCCCACACCTACTCCACCAGTCCTCCACCATAACACTTCCCCACCACCCACCCATCCCACCACTCACACTAATTCTCTCTCTCTAAAACTTCTGTCTTTGTCTCTCTTCATTGTACCAACCACCAATCCACCCATGACCCACCCCACCACTCTCACCAACTCTCTCTTTCTCCCTCCCTCGTGTAACCTCACCCATCCATCTCACCGTTCAATGTGTCTCTCGCTTTCTCTCTCTCTATGCAGTGTACGGCTGCTTAGTGGCTAGGTGGATGGGGTTGCCCCCACTCCTCTGGTAAGGTTGAAAGTGGTTGGCTTGACTTTATTTGGAGGTGATTTATGGGCTAATATGCATTCCATTCAGTTGGGCCCACAGTGGGCAGAACGTGTTTTTATGTAGATGGTGGTGACGCATGGTGTGTCTAATGGTTTAGTTGGGTGAATTACATTGTTGGCTCTCTGGTAATCATGTTTTAATTTTTTATAAAACGAATTTAATTAGACTAACGTAATACTCAATCATCGAATCTTAATACAAATTTTAAGACTCAAATCTTCGACTTCAAGTGAAAAATTTGGTCAATACCTCATTAGATCACCCAGATAATGATTATACTATATTAATTAAGTACTTAAAAATACATATGTTTTTCAATTTAACCCTCAAACTATTGAAATCGACGCAATCAGACTGTTCCGTTTATACAAAATATCCAATATACAAAAGGCCCATTACTAAAACATTCAAATGCTAAAAATGTTCATCTGCTGCTCTTCTGCAACACAATAGTTAATCATTCTTAGCATGTCCATCTTCTGCAACAAAAAAATGTTCATCTGCTACTTCATGTTTGGATTCAAAAGTAGCCATATGGTAACACTAAGCAAGCACCCATGGCCAGCCACAACCACCTCTCTTTTCATCTACATCTAACTTCTTGAACTTCTAGCAGACTTAATTTTTTGAGAAGAGCAAGATAATTATCGAACACATTAGGAGGGTTGTACCATGAGAAAAATCCACACCCTCGGTTTTGTCAAGTGAAAAACTTTTTTCAGAATTGTGATCCGTCCACAATGTCACTTTCACCCCCTTTTTCTCCTATGCCCATTAGACATCCATTTCTCACAATTGCAATAACTCTACAAATTAGAACATATATACCGAAGGAAGTGAGCTTTTGGCAGGAAAATTGGTGCCAACAAGTTATGACCATTTTTTGTCTTGATCGAATGTAGACGAAGGGCCGGATTGCATCGATGTCAAGAGTTGAAGGGCTAAAATAAAAAAAAAATAGTTTAAAAACTTAATTGACACAAAATATATAGTTCGAGGACCAAGAGTATAATTCACCCTATTTTATTTATATTTATACAATCAAATTTATATCCTATATAAATTATATTTACTTGAATTCGTATCAATTTAATTAGTTCATATTGGTCTATTTATTTAATGAATCCGTTGAGTCCATTCATTTACCATCATAACCCACTAAAACTAGAATTGGCAAGCCTAGTTGTATGCTAACATAGGGGTCACTAAGGTTAGGCAAAGTAGGGCTCTAGGAAAGAAGAAATAGAAACATGTGCAAGGGAGGAATCATACATGGAATTCAATTAGCAGCTTGAAAGGAGGTCAGGTAGCCTAATTATGAGCTAAGCCAAGAAACTGGGAACCTTTTCAACCCAGTTACATATGTAACTGGTTGGGTAAGAGTTACCATGGATGGAGTTATAAATGAACTCCAACAATTTCAATAACAAGTCAAATGATAACATGAAAAAATTTTAAATTTGGACGTTTTAAATTTAAATCTTATTATTTTTGGAACTAAATTATGAAAATTTTTTTCTTTATAAATATCTTAGTCCCGATATAAATGATTTATTTATAACTAGACTGAAAAAAAAAATAAACCAAATTACACATAAACTGACTTAAACCCCACTAACTAACCGTTGAACCAAAATAAATAAATAAATGATCGGCACTTTTTAAATTTTCACAGCCAGTCATAAAGTGTTACGTAGAAATTTTGTTATTTTAGTATTTTAATATATTTTATTATTTATGACTACAGATAACTCAAATCAAGATCACTGAGAATTGTTTTTGGGTATAGTGCAGACAAATTAATTTCTAGTAATACAACCTTATCCTAGAAATGATAATTACTAGCAAAACATTCATCATCCTTCGTCTCCGGACAATTTTTTCCCAAAAAATTGCCACAGAAAAATTTATTAAAATATCAGGCAAATTATACTTTATATCCTGAAAAATATATGAATTCTTAATTTGTACTCTTAAAAGATAAGATTTTTCATATTGTACCATCAATATATTAAATGTATTACAATGAAATCCTTCCATTTGTTTTCGTTATTCATTTCGTTAACGTCAATGAGATAATTTTTGACAGAATAAACAATGAAAACTAACAAAAAAGTTACATTGTAACCCTTTTAATATATTGATGGTACAATATGAGAAATCTAATTTTTAAAGATGCAAAATAAAAAATATTAAATCGTTCGGGTGCAAAGTCCCATTCAAATAAGATAAAAAATGCATGAACCATAACAAAAGTTCATCAATCCATGCGATCTGTCACAGGTTTGAATTATGAGAGAGAGAGAGAGAGAGAATCTTCAAAACAACTATGAAGATGAAGATTTTCAACATGGTACAAGGATCTGTCAATGAATGGCCAGCTGCAACATTCAGCTTTGAAATAACAATTAATCGATGTAAACAATATACAAGATGGAATAACAATAAATCAACGAACAATACAAGACGAGCAAGGCATAGCGTACCATTTTCCTTATTCTACAAGAGATGAATGCTAGAGTAAAGTTGGATACTTGGCATCAAGGAAGTCCCTCAGGGTTTTGGCAGCTTTGTGACCACCCATCAGCTCAGCTAGCCTCTCCACAGGAAGAAGGGCAAGTTCCGCCAAGCTTTTACACCCATCCATTAAAGCCCTGTAGTTGGAATCGGTTACACCAGGGAGCCGTCTTAAAAACTCTACTGCTGATGTGTTGTAATTCTCAGCTCTGTCATATAGAAAATATCCAAGAATTATATTTATATCCCATGCTTGAAACCCAACTAATTCTACATGATTGAGGATGATAGAAGAAGTTAATAATTCTGCTCGAGGATCCATTTATCCCTACAATAAGTTTCGTTTTTCTGGGAAGCAATGGGCAAGTCCGTTTGTTTACAGCCAAGTCAATGATATCTAATATTCCAGAGAAACATTAATCTGCATTATGAGGAACACAAGGAGAGCAAGTCATTTCCCCTGTTGCCCAATGCAAACGGGCCATGTCTTGCCATATTCAGCTCTTGCTAGACATTACCCAACCATCTCTAGCTTATAGAAACCATATATTTGATCTGGCAGAGTCTAAAGATCCTTTGGCATGTCCTAAGCCATTAGAGAAGATCAAAACAATAAATCTTACCTCACATCATTTTCCACAATGCCCTCTTCCGAAGGGACACCAACTCTAATTGCCTTGGCCTCATCAGGTTCATCCTGATTTGCTTTAAGGGAAGCAAATATTTCAGCAGTAGCATGCAAACTGCGAGACCAGACAATCCGCAGGCGGGGGAAGTGTAGAACAAGCAAGGACAGCTTCGATATAATGCTATTTGGTGTTACATCATCACCAATATCACTCGTTGACTGCAAAAATATTTCACTAACTAAGAACAGGAGATTAAAAGCAATCTTCTGGGCTCCATAAAATATTTATTTTTTCGTTTTGATTGTGGGTGGCAAAATAAATTCTACATGTAAAGTGAATCACCTGAAATGAAAAGCTTTTGTCTTGTGAAAACTCGATTAGAAGAACAGGAATCCTATAATAGCGTGCCATCATTTCCACTTGGTGGTAAAGACGACCAGATGCAAAACTACCAAAAAGATCTTGTATACTCTTTCTTTCCACGCACATTGACGGAGAAAGGATATAGTCTCCAACTTCCAACGTCACTGGTATTATGCGCATTCCGTTCTGGTGAAGTACATTTGGAAGGCTGCTCATAAACTCTCTCATGTCCACAATGACCTGCAACACAAAATATGAATTGTATGATTTGCGGTTCTAAGTAGATAACAGTTCACTAATAGGCAGAATATCACGTACGAGCATTTCTTTCTCAGCTTCCTTTCTTCCACCTGCCTTTCTTGTTATAGAATTTTTAGAAACTACAGATTGTGGCTCAATGGAAGAATTCTGTCCTAGACATCGCCCATCCTGATTGAAAAAAAAAAAGCAAAGCCACACAGTATCAATACCTATAATTTGTATGGAGACAGAAAGAGACTCCAAAACCAATATATTGCGACAGACACACTATGTAGATTGGCGAAGAATGAAAAGTAAAGAACAGACCTGATCCACTGGGATCATCATCAATGATTTCTGCCTTATCAAGGATTCAAATGCTCCATTTTCCTTGCGTATACTAGCTTCAAACTTTTGCACCTCAGTAGAATCTTCATAGAAGAGAAAATATACTTTCAACTTATTTGACGGATTCTCAGCCTTATAGATTTCAATTTCCCTAACAAAAGCCATGTCAGGATGGTAAACGATAATTACAGATGGCTTCAAAATGTCAAGTATGTGTTGATCGCTTTCTAGGGCATGAAAGTGCACAGGTGGAAGTCGTTTCGTATTCTTGAATGGTTCAGCACCCACCACTTGAGCATGCTTCCGAAGAACCTGTCTCTCCATAGATGTACCTTCTACATTTTCTTGGAAATCACCTCTAAGGTTGAATCCACTATCTTGGCCTTCAATCTCAGAAGCGAGTATATTGGATTTCTCACTAACTGCTGTCTCAGTGTTACTTCTATCTTCTCTGTCCACAGAAATTTGAAAATTTGCTGAGGTTTTTCTGTTCCTTCCTTTTACTTTCCCTTTTCCTTTCCGTTTTCCACCTCCTCCACTGCCCACACAAGTTTGAAGATTATCTTCAACAACAACATCCTTTTTGGATAGTTTACTAATTTCAGATGCCGCTGCCAGCAGTGCATTATGTTCCTGCTTGCTTAAGCTACTAACTTCTGCTTTCTGTCCAGGTGTTGTAGGGACCACTCCATCAAGTATCCCAAAGCCTTTAGGGTCCTTCGGTTTCTTTTTATTATGCTTTGGTAAGGCCTGCAACTCTACTTTACTCAGTAAATACTTCTCCCACTCTTCCCGCATGACCTTTATTAAAAAACAGAGTGAGATGTTTATATCCAATCTGTCATCACATTATCACATGTTGGCTAAAAACGCAGTGTAAACAAGAATAAAACTATAGGCCATCCTATATATGAATTAAATTGCTCCTTTAATGGAAAATCAAAAGAATTGTTCAACATTTGAAATTAAATATAAAATACAAACATCTACATTTGGGTAAAACCCCTTCTTTTTTTTTTTTGAAGGGGGGATTAAAATTGGACATGCAGTTGTGCTTGACCAGACAGAATTTTCTAAGTTTCAAAACCTTGATTCATCATCAAAAAAGAAAGCACTAACACAAGCTTTGTATGAAAGCCAGACAACCTCAACTGCCTCACCATATCAGTAATAATTCTGAGTCACTTCGTTGTATAGGATCAGGTCTCCAGTTGTCCATTAACGTTAAATTGGCTGATAGGATATTTCAAAGACTGCAAGTGTGACTGTATGGGCTTTTAAAAGTTCATAATACAGTAGCGCAGCTGTCAAATTGTATCAAACCTTTAACAAAAAATCCTTTAAGCACCATGGCAGAATATGTGCAGTGCAGCACAACAAGCTTTAAGGACTTGGGTTATATTCATTTGCAGCGCCAGCTCATAGTCTAGCCTAGGACTAACCCACCTTCCTCCAAAAAAAAAGGAAAGAGAAAAAAAGAACCCATAAAAACAAAAAACCAAAAAGGACATGGAATTCCAAAGAAGTCCGTAAAACAGTGCAAACCTTCTGTGGGCCATTTGCGATGCAATATTCAAGCTGCATGCATGAACGTTCATCTTTGCATGCCACCAAAATGATGCCATTGTCATCCTGTTCATCTCCAACTACAAGTTCTCCCCTTGACAAAGCTTGCTTCTCTCTTGCCTCTTCTATTTCTTCAAGAACCTCCTAAAAGAAATTGATAACATAAAATATGGCACTGAACTGCTCCAAAACTCATAATATCTTCTTAAAGTCACGAGATTTGAAATACTATTTACCACATAACTAAAGTGACAAAAGAGAAAACTGGTTCAACTCAAAGGAATTCTTTTCTTTCTTATATGGTAGACCATCAATTCCAAGCACATATGTGGACACGAACTTACAGTTAATTGTGTAACACTATTTTAATTAAGAGCAATATGACTTCAAGGTTTTAAAGATAAACTGGAACTCACTCACTCACACGCAACACCTTCCACTTTGGTGCCTCCTCCAAAACTTCCTCCAAAATTACACTACTTGAACTCGATGGCAAAGAATCTACAGGTGCAGACAAAGAAATAGAGGTTAAAATAACTGCTTCCCCAACAAGTACATTTGATGCAAAATCATTGCACTATTGTGAAGTTCTGCTACATTACAACCAACAAAATACAATTGTGCACATTTTACACAACTATCAAGTTCCTTTCAAATTTCAATAAGGGACAACTTTTGCTTTAACTGGAATGCAGCAAATAGCTTCATGATAACTGATTTCCATAGATAAACAAATTACGGATACAAGCTGCAATACACAGAATATAAAATCCTCACCTTCTTTCTCTTTGTTGCTACTATCCAACTTCCTCTTTTTGGATGTCACATTCTTACTATGCCCGCTCAATTTCCTGCTACCTGACCTCCCAAAATAATAAACCCGCTTCTTTGCCAACTCAAAAATCTTATAACTTGACTCTGCAAAGATCCAAACAGACCGAAAACTCTCTGACGCTCTCAAGGAATCCAAATACTTCAAGTAAGTAACTGCATCATACCTGATAAAAAACACCAAAATCTAAACACAAAACCAAATTTATTCACCAAAAAGAAAAAATCAAAGTAATGCTTCCCTCTCTATTATCCTACAATTATACATCAGCATCAAATAAGTAGGATTTTTGCTTCATTTCCCATCATCCAACAATAATCCTTCAGCGTCATCACAGACGATCAAATAAACAAAAAATATTCTACAAAATCTTCAATCATCAGTATAATCCATTCAATTCCTCGCGGATCCGTATTATACTGATCACTCATAGATGCTTACACACATTCAATTTTTTTTAAATATTGTCTACAAATGAAATGCAGCAATTAGTTCAGAGATTTTCAAACGATAGCCATCAATAATATTAGCCCTTAAGTTCAACAAAAAAAATTCACAAATTGGCAATGCAATTATGCAATTTAACATTTTCTTCTTTCAAGTTTTAAACTTCAATAGCATTATGTTGCATTTGGGAGCCCTGAATCCTTGCCTTGGTTACTTGGTATTTGATCTGAAATAGAATGAGTTTAAAATATAAATTTACGTGGGCTCCAATTCCATGGAATGGATTCCAAACTGCCCAAACACAGCTTCAGACCAATAGGAATTTCAATATGATACCTCACTAGATAATCCAGCAACTTCCTCAACGTCTTCAAATCAGAAACAAGCTGCTTCGTCTTCTTTCCCAGTGTATGCCAAATGGGATCCAACTGCCTTCTCACAATCTCATCAAACGACTTAAACAACCCATTCTCCACCGTCAAATCTTCGATATCCACCTTATTTGTCTTCCTCATCTCCTTCAAACACGCGTCCATGACCTCAGTCACCGCCTTCTGGATTCCCACCATGTAAGCCGTCATCGGAACCCTAATATCCACCACCTCCGGCGGGTCCCTCTCCAAATCCTGCGAAACATACACCTGGAACCTCGGCCATAGATGGAGTTTCTTCAGAAATAAGCACTTAAGGGTTCGTTCGGCCTTTGCGAAGCCGGAGATCATAGCGTGAGGTCGATCCGAGAAGGCACGAACGTAGAGATTCCGATTGGACGACCGGAGAATCCGTACAATAAACGCCTCCGTGGCCGTGTCGGAGAGAGAGTGCGCATTAAGGAGAATAATCCCAGCGATCGCGGTGGTCGGGAGGCGGTGAGTCAGCAAATCAACGATCAAGATTCGCACAGTGACGAAGAAAACCCCGCCAGAGGTGTACAGAGACAGACGTTGGTGAGCCGGCAGGTCGGAAGTGATCTCCGAGGGCAAATTCGTAATTTCAGGAGAATCAGTGTTTTGAGTATAGAGGGTGGATTGGAGAGAGGAGAGGATCGAAGATTTTTGTGAGGGAGAAGCGGAGAGGATGAGGAGAGTGCCTTGGGAGGGGTGGTGGAGGTGGAGGAGGGATGCGATGAGTTTGTGGAGGCCGAGGCCGCCGGAGAGGACTACCAAACCGCCGGTGGGGTCTTCGAGGAGATCGGAGATTATGTGCTCGTGGAATTGCACCATTTTTCTGGTTTTCAACATTCAGTTGTGGCGGAGGCGGGAGTCGAAGACTTTATACAGAGAGAGGGCAGTGGGGTTCATGAAGATATTGACCGTTGGATTGGCTGGAGAAACGAAAACCCTAAATCCACAAACTAACCAATAGATTCATGCCACGTGGATTAAGTTTAGTGAAATTTGAAAATTAATCGAATAGAAGATGTTTTCAACTTTAAACCATACAATTTTACAAGCTATTTTAAAATTTCAAAAATCTCCCACAAAAAAATCATGAATTTGATATTATTAATTTTAAGAACAACTTACACTCTTTAGTTTTATTTCAAGTCGTGTTACATTTTGACGCTCTTAATGTATAACCATTTCTCGTGCTTTTAATTGGCTCAAGTGAGATTAATGTAAGATTTATCTTTCTTGAGAGAATCCAGCGCCGCCCCGGCGCCAGCTGAGGCATTGCTCAGGGTCAATATCGAATAATGACTTATTGCAACTTGCAACTAATAAAAAGAGGTCATATTCGATACACAAGAAGAATCATCCTATAACAGTGTCTAAAAACGGGAAGTAGTCGACAATCTTACTTCCATTTTGTCGAAACTGCTTCTCAACTCGCTTGGATGAATGAGAGTATTTTCTATTCCTCCAGGTCCGATCTCTTGTGAGTGGCATATGGTCCATTGTATGTACATCATACCCAACTTACAAATACATGATGAAACATTGTGAAAACAACACACTTATCACTCCAAACAGAAAGAGCAATACTCACAGAGGAGCCACAAAATCACCACTATAGTCAATTTCAGACTCCAAATCAATGTCACCATCGTCGGGGTCAAGTGAACCAGAAGCAGCTTGCCCTTCTGCTTTGGATGCTTCCCCAGGGATCTTTGCCTCTTGGATGATCTGCATTATTTCTTCAACGCTCTGGTCACCATCTGCTTCATCCAAGTTTGTTTTCTCACCTTCCGTTTGCTCTTTTGGCATATTTTTCAAGAACCAAGGATGCTTTTTTATTTCAGGGAGTGTGATCCTCTTCAAGAAGGCATTGGACAGGTTTAGTCAGCAGAAATTTAGTTGATAAAACACCACATTGTATTTCACAAAAAAAAAAACAGAAAAGCCAGTGAACAACACAATATCGTATAGATGAGTCCCTTAAAGCATCCAATATTAGTACGTGTATCCAGAGCAGAAGCCATAAAATGTGGATAAATCACAAATTAAAAAATTCTTTGGATATGGTTCTACAAATTCAATCGATCAACTGCAAAGAATTTAAAGAAACGGAAGAAAGAACAGAAGAGATGATCAATGTTGTTATAGTACCATTTCATCTTAGATGCTTTACGAGACGAGATGAACTACTCTGTTTCCATGTCGTTTCATGCCTAACAACAATCGAACATGGTAGTAGTTTGTGGAGAGAATGCCAAAAGAGAGATATGATTCATGACAAGGAAGTCACCTTTGAGGGATTTGCGACAAAAATATGAGAGAGGAGGTGCCTACAATCTGCAGACACGCGTACATAGTCGGGTATGGAGTATTGAACAGTCATTATTCTCTGAAAGGAAAAAAGTGACATTCACTGATCCAATAACAAGGGACTTATATAGAATAACATATTGTTTGATCAAGATTCAAATCTATATTCGGTTATAGCTCACCCCAATGGTTTTACGGAAATTTCTGGGATCTTCAGGATCTTCAAATGGGTATGCTCCAACCAACATCACATACAACGTCACACCACAGGACCATACGTCTGCAATCTAAAAGTAAAGAACCATCAGGTGACCAAGTCAGAGAAAGAAAAGATAGATTGTGTGTTTTGTTATCTGTCTCCCATGTTTGGAATGCTGCCTAAGCTGATTCTGCTGATTTTCCATGAAAACAATCATACATGAAATGGTGGGGATAACTTTGTTGTTATGTTTGTGAGTGGATAAAAATATTGTCTCCAATATAAACGAAAGAATGAAGATGACAAGAAATAAGATGGTCAGAATTACCAACTCAAGGTAGTACAAATACCTTCCCATCATATTCCTTTCGTGACAGAACCTCCGGGGCAATGTATGCAGGTGTTCCTACTGTTGATTTGGGTTGTGAATGCAACAAACCAGACTGCAACTCCAATTGATAAAATTTTATGAGAAGCAGAAGAATGAGAACATTAGAAACTGAAAAAAATTTTAAGTGGTGTCAAAAACAAAAACCACAAGTCAATTCTTTAAAGACTTAACAGAGCATACTATTATTAACCTTGGAATAACCAAAGTCACATATTTTAAGACGTGGTGCTGGACTTCCATCCAAGAGAGTGTTTTCCAGTTTCAGGTCTCTGTGACAAATTTCCTACAGTAAAATAAAAAGAATGATTTAAGAAAAGAAGGAACAAAATGTGAAACAAATATTCGAAAAAATATACCATAGCATGACAGTAGCTGACTCCAGATATTAGTTGCTGGAAGAAAAACCGTGCCTGTTCAAGGGATTAACAAACACATATTAGCTATCTAAATTTTATTTGAGCCAACATAAAAACGACAATAACAAGTCAGATAAACTAAACAACACAAATCTTGTTATCAGAACCTCATCTTCACTAAATCTACCAGCACTGCAAATCCTTGCAAAAAGCTCACCACCAGCTGCATATTCCATGACTATAGCCAAATGTGTTGGAGTTAACAATACCTGCAAGCAAATATGTTTCACTGAGGCATGATTTCATGTCTAAACTTGAGAAAGCCAGATTTCACGTGTCTCAGTATACCAAGACATCATTCCTGACCATTTTGATGACCAAATAAATTCCCTAACCCTATGGTGGCAAAATTTATCTGTCAATATAATTTTCAGGTCACACATGCATTCCTTGGCAAAACATCACAGAGAAACTTTAGCCAGGTCAAAAGATCTAAAAAAAGTGCAGAACTAGTAATACTAGTTATTCATTCCTGGAAAAGATAGTATTAAGGGCAGTGACCGTATCACACTTTTGGCGGCTGATGCCCTCGGTCTTCATACTCCTGATTTACCATTGACTTGGAGTGTTAATTGCTCCTACACCACTTGATGTTTTTTATAAAATCGGATGGACCCCCTCTTGTCTGAAAAATAATACATTCCCACAGAAGTTTGTCATTTGGAGACAATAAATCCCCTCCCTTTACACACCATTAGGACAACCGTCAATTTCGGATGATATCATCATTTTTCAGCTCTAAAATGCCCAAATTATCGATGCTGGAGCCATAAACACAACAGCTTCTACTTTGAATGGAAACAATGCCCAAGGACACTAAACACAAAAGCCAAGAAAATTCTTTGTTACCTCCTTGAACCTGACAATGTTTGGATGCCTCAGTGATCTGTGATTTATGATTTCCCTCAGAACATTCTCATCAATCTGAAATAATCAAAGCAACGTTTTATTAATTAATGCAAACAAAAAGAAAAAAGAAAACCACCAGAAATAACAATTTGAATAAATGGAAAAGAACCAGTCCCTGCAAACGAGGAGACAAGGCTCTCGCATCTAGCATAAAATTATAAAAATGTGACTTAGCCATTAGCCAAGGCCTCAATACATAAACTATGTATGTTATTCTCTAGATGTAATGTGGCAAAAAGAGTGGAATAGGCCTTTCCACAAGTCTGGCTATCATAATGATTTGGTGAACTCTGGAGCTTGTTCATAATAGTGGTGTGGTATGGTGATAGTAATTCAATTTTCTTTCCTTCTGAGTTCAAAAGTTTAGGATTTTGCCCGCATAAATAAATGGGAGTCTGACGATTGCCAAAAGATTTGTAAAATTAGAGGATCAAAGAAAAAAGAGATTGGATGAGATATGGACCCGAACATGGTAGCTTCTCCATAACTGACAGGAGTCCTCAAATCAGGGACACACCTGCTTCACTGATGCATTTATGTGTTACCAACTTAGGACTTTGTACAACTTGCGGTCCTAAAATTAGGTATAACTTTATCATGACAAAAAGTAACATGAAGAAATCTAAAGTATAAACAGAATTATTTGGCATATCATCGATATCCTTAGGTAGAACTGGAATGGTCATAAGAATAGTAGTGTCTTGTTTACCGGGATAATATGTGTGCTTTTCCACACATATTATTCTGAACAATGAGGGTACATGTACCTCATATTTGGAAAAAAGTTCATAAAGAATCATGATAGTACAATCTGAAGCAGTATTTAAATTCCTACTGGGATCAGTTAAGTGTAATATGTTGGGCACTGCAGTTATAGGCTCATAGCATCAAACTGAAACACATAAGAACTTGACCACCTTGTCTCCTTCTTTCATCATTGCACAACATGGTCTAGTGAGCAAACAATGGCATTTTAGAAATTCAAGTTCCAACCATCTAGATCTCCAGCTATACCCAAAGAACCAACATTCTTTTAAGGCAATTGTTGACGACTGATTGAGAAAGAGTTGTAATAACAAATCAAGAGCTGTATCTAACCATGTTAAATTAAACCTGATAAACTAAGCAGAGTAAAAAATACACCAAATGCGGCATAGGCTCTTTCCTCAAATATACTGCAATGCCTTCATCAATAACCAGAAATGAATCATCAGCAAATAGTTCCCAACCTCCAAAATTGTATAAACTATCTGATAACATGAATATGTGATTGCACCACAATGGGACCAGAGCCGGGGGCAATATGACAACCAAAAACCCACTAATCACGGGAAAATTCTGGGGGAGATGGTCTCGGGTACTTATCACTTCAAACATAAGAAACTCTTTTTTTTTCATAACCCTAAATAGTAAATACTTAATTTCAACTCCAACAGCAATCATGTCTTAATCATCCCCACTCAACACCTTTACTATCTCCAACTTCATTAACCCAACAATGTTGCTCCACCAGCTTACGGGTCATAAGCAAAGAAGAACATAACAAAGAGAAACCAACCTTCACCCTCTCCTTCGACTTCTCCCAATATTCCACAACATCCTAAAATTTCTCTCGAGTCCACCACCCAATCACTGTCCAGTTTTTCCCATATTTGATGAAAAAGTATACCGTGGCAAAGAAGTCTAAAGGTATAGGCATAGCCATTGGACCTGCTAGTCACAACTACCAATAAAAAGCAAGAAAACAAGGCCGAACCCAACACAACTACAGCTACTTCACATTGAAACAAGGAATATATAACACAAATTTCAAAGAAATACCACTTTTACATTTCGAAAGATCAAAAAAGAAGAAAAAAGAAAAACTAATCCAATATTCGACTCATCCAACGAAAATATCTTTCAAAGCAGCAAAATAAAGTACACCTCATGTAGGATTATAAGCATAAATTGATTCATCTGACTAGGAAATTAGTACCTTCTTCCCTCTTTCTATGTATTTGACAGCAAGAAGCTCGTTTGTCTTTTTGTTTTTGACAAGCCTTGCCACCCCAAAATTCCCAGCACCAATTTCTTTCAATGCCTCATACTTTTCCTCCATTTCAACCCAACCCAAATCAACACACTAGAAAATCAAAGCAAAACTTCAACAACACCTACCAGAAATAAAGAAAAACCCGATGAGGAGAGACAAAGTCAGACAAAGAGAGATTGTTTCAAGACAAAGAAGACCACCCCTACCAAACTCCAAATGACCAATGGAGTTTCTGAAGTTTTTACTATTCTAAGCCCCAAGTCACTGTTCTAAAAGTTAAATAGAAAGAAACTCTAAAGGATCAAACTTCTAAGTATGGACTTTTCCAAGAATACGCATGTTAAAGGACACGTATCTTGGTGGCTTCAAAGTATCGGAGCGCTTTGATGCTGACAAAACAAGACACTGTTCCAGACGCTAGTGTTATTTATGGCCCTTTATTATGGATTAATGGGTCTTCTTCATGAGGGTGCGTAGGTTTAAGATTTTTCGGTGCGTAGTTTTAAGTTAACAAGTATTTAATGATCAAAATTATCAAAAATTTATTTATTTTTAATTTTAAATAAAAATTATCATAATTTTAAAAACAAAATGTCAAAACAAAGGGTCAAATTTGACATTGACCATTTATATTTAAAACTATGATAATTGATTTGTCTCGCCCAATTTCATTCGACATAATTTTTTTTCCTAAAACTCATAATATTTTTTGATCAATTTAATAGTTAAAGTATTGATACGACTACGAGTTATAGCATCAAGTTTTCAAATCTGTTAGAAATAGATGACCTTGCTAAAAAATAGTTGAGACAAAAAAAAATGTGATATATCAATTGATCTACTTACTTGTGACTTGACATTGATTTTGCCAGTTACAACTGTCACAGTAAAAAAAGTATTTTCAACTATAAAAATTATAAAAAATCGATTACATAATCGAATGAGCGATCAATGGATAAAAGATAACTTGATTGTATATATAGAGAAGTATATTTTCAATTGTATCGATAATGAATTTATTTTGTAACGCTTTCAAAATATAAAAATCCATCCAGATCAATTATATATGACTACAGTCAGTTTCATTTTTTATTAAAAAAAAGTTTAATTAGAACTTTATTTTGTAGATTTTTTTTCTTTCCATACTCGATGTATATCAACTTTTAACCGTTTTTGTCAATGAAAGTTTAGGTTTATATAAAATTTAAAAAATTTATATATCTTTTACTTTAATCCTTAAGAAATTAAAATTAAAATTTATAGCTAGTGTCCACCCACATATAAATTATTGACTTCGTCCAACCCATATTTCTAAATAAAAAGTATGACATTTTTTATTTAAAAATATTATTAGACATTAAAAAACTGAAAAGTGTAAGTTCAACACACACTTGGATAACTAAAATAAAAATCTCTTTATAGAAAGAATAAAGTTTTAAAATTAGTGTGAAATAAGAAGCAAAAAAAAAAAAACTCGCCACCAAATGGGCGCAGGATAAGTGGGTGGGTTCCCTGTCTGAAGGTTGGGAAATTGTTAAACGTGCGCCGTTGTGGGTCCCGGGTCAATGACATGGGGGGCATACTTATACTTGGAAGAATATTATTCAATCACGAGCCGCTATTAAAATATACTAACTTTTTCTACCGACTTTCGGAGGTTCAACTCGTTTGCACCACTCTTTTTCACTTGTTATGATTATGATGGGGCTTCTGATTAATTAATTATTGTCGTTATCGTCATTAGTGTCTTGTTATACTATTTTTGATCGTATATTTTTTATATGTGTTATATTTGTGTCAATAAAAAAATATTTTATTATTTAATATCTCAAATACTATTATGTTTAAAAAATAATGAAATACTTATTTTTTTTATCTATATTATTTGTTAATTGTATTATTCGTGTCTAATTTTATTTTGATTCATTCATCAATTATGTTAATTAATCGTGTCATTTTTAAATTCTATGTCAGGTTAAATTTGTGTCGAGTTTGTGCCAATAAATAAAATTCGTATTCCTCTTCTCACCCCCATTTTACTTGTAAGAATATATTTTTTTTATTTATTTTTGGTATTAAGGAAATTAGCTAAGGAAGCGATGGCGATAGAGGTTATCAAACCAATTTTTTTTTTCAAATTTTATTTTTTTCCACGATTGAAAATTCTTTCAAGCCAGTTTTCTATTTTAATTTTTTACTTAAAAAAATTTAAAACCGTCTTCGTTTTCAATTTGTTTGAAAACCATAAACATTTCCAAACGCCATCTCAATTTTTTTATTCAACATATGGTACACGTGTATTTAAAATATAAGATTTGAATTTTTATTTGGACAACATAACAATTCTCTAAATGAAATATATTTGGAAAAATTTTAACTACACTCCCTCTAGTTTATCATAACTTAAAGGATGCCCCTCTATTTTTTTGAATCTCCACTGATATCCCTGTCAGATTAAAAATATTAAGTAGAATGTAATTTTACTAAATTGCCTATGATATATTTGAGGACAAACTTCATCCACACCCTCTTTAGATAAGTATATCTTCAATGAAACCCCCTCTGATTTGTAATTTTTTTACGTATTAAAATTCGATTCAAGCTACTTAAAATTTGATAGATTAAAAATTATATTTTTTACGTATTATAATTTGGGCTAATTAAAAATTATTTTTAATCGACTCAAATCAAATTTTAATCAACTCACATTGAATTTTAATTAGCCTAAATTTTTATACATAAAAAAATATAAATTTTAATAAATTGAATTTTAATTGATACTAATTTTAATAAGTAAAAAAATATTAATTTTAATCAATTTGAAAGTAAATTTTAATCGGCGCTTATAACTTAGAAAGAGTTCAAATCGGTTCAAATTTTAACAATGATAATTTAATGATAGGGAGTGTTAGAGATGTTTAAATATAAACTAGAAAGGGTGTTAGTGATATTTTTGATATTAAAGGGAGTGTTATTGAAAATATAATAAACTAGGAGGATTGTAGCTAAAATTTTTCCAATATATTTTGTTAAAATTAACTGTTAAATGAGAAAAGATCTAATAAGATTAAATGTTAATTTATCAATAGTTAACCTTAGCGAAATAGATAAATTAAAGTATATTACATTGTTTAGAGGACACATTAAGATATTGATAAGTTCAAAGTACAATTTAAAATAAAAGTTATAGTTCCACTTCAAGGCGGGTCAAATTATGGAACACATGAGAGGAAGGATTTTATAATATTCGAGGAGTGGTGAAAAACTAGCACTCTTTCCACAAAATTCATGAATCGCTGCCCATTACTGTGACTTTTTGTCGAAGTCAAGATTAGGAATGGGCGGGGGGGCGTCCACAAGTACTGCCATCTTCGCGATACAATGCTTGTTCAAACGAAAGGAAATATAGATGCATTGAAGTATGGCCATCCTTGGTTTGATCCTCCTTGGTTTTTGGATTTGCGTAAAAGAATCCTCGTATCCATTAAATAATGGTGTGCTTAACCAAAACACCGAATTATCATTTTTTATTAGAATTGATGAGCCCAAATCTAATCAAACCATACCCAATACATCTAACAAATAATTTTAATCAGACCAGCAACACGATTTTTTCCTCTCAATAGTGAATTTGTGTGTGCAAAATGCATGCAATTGATATTTCAGTTTGTATTAATAAACAAATATAACAATCCCAATTATTATCAACTACTAAATATCAATTCGAATAATTAAAATATATAACAAAATTTCCCCATTTATTATCAACTATTCACCACTAGATTATCATATTTCTCAATACTGAACCAATTTATCTGTGCAAAAAGGGCAAAAAAAAACATTATACAAAAATGGGAACAAATGGTCCCCATGAAACTTCTACAAAGGCAAGACGCAAGAGAAACTCTAGCTTACAATTCCTAAAGTTTAAAAATCCACGACAAATTTAAACATCATAGTAGACATAATAATAGGAAACATTGACCAGACAAAATCTAGAGTACAAAAACTAGGTGAAAATCCAACTAACCTGTGTTGTGCCCCCTTAGTTTCCAAGTACAAGGAATGGGATTATTGATAAGAAAATCTAGAGACACCAATAAATCAATTGCCAACAAAGTAATTTTAAGCCGGCCATTTCTGGAATCAAGAGAGATAATATAAGACTTACCCAAGATGGATATCATTTGGCTAGGGGTGATCTGATCATCCAATCTTTCGGGTTTTGTTATTTTTAGTTTAGTCTGAGTACTAATAATTTCATTGTGCAAGTGAAAGATTTAGATGAGTTGCGAAGATATAGCTTCCGGTTTGCTGAACAGTTCAATACTGAACAACGTCGATGTTGATACCATATTTATGCAGTACATGTTGCAGTATGAAAGGTGCTGCATTTGAACTGATACCGTGTTCAATCATCATATCCATTAGGCAGCATGCATCATTGTAATACCTGATAAATTTAGGACACATGTCCACATCATAATTGGACAAATGATAACAATGATTAGCTAACATAGAAGTGGAACCAGATAGAATCCAATAGGATTGGTATGGATGAGTGCGACGCAACCAGACGAAACACCGCAAAAGGGAGAAACACACCCTTATAGCATTGGAAGTGGTCAAATAGACTTTTTACAAAGGGTGGCCCAAAAATGAAACTGTATGAGTCTTGAAGACCTTCTTGTCGAGACTCGCCTCTCCACTGCAGGAGTGGTATTCTGAATCTATTGGATATCTTTGCTCGACTGGCCCATTAAACTAAGAGGAAAGATCCCCACTTAGGGATAAAGTAGTATGACCCTCCTCAAGGGAAAACTAAGTAAGGGGAGCAGACGAATATGATTGTTAACCTCGGTCTAGCGCAAGATCTTGAACGTTTAGTCTGTTCGAACAGGTTTCCCTGAGATGTGTTTGATTACTGGAATTTAGGGGTGGCTCAAGCTTATTTGAAGCCTAATGCGGAAACATTAAATGAAGACCTTTTTATTTTAAAAAAAAAATTTATTTATTTTTAATTTTCTATGTGAGAGGTAGACAATAGAAGGACGTATTAATATTGTCAAAAAAGAAATTTCAACTTTTGTTTTTTTTTTATCACAGAGAGGGAGAAAGAGTGTTTAATTTCAAATTTTGTTTTTATTTTTTATTTTTTTTACTGGAGAGAGAGAGAGAGAGACTAAGTGAGTGAGAGTAAATATGAGTTGACTTTTGAGATTTTTTTTTTATTTTTTTAATTTCTAATTTTTTAATGTTATGAAT